TTCCCCTTCTTCCTCTTCTTCTTCCTTCCTCGTCCTCATCTTCCTCCATCACCTCCTCCTCCTCCTCCTCCTTCTTGCTCAGCTAGAAGCTAGAAGGCTAGGGCTGGCTGTGAAGGGTTGCTTCAAGGCTGCACATAGATTGTTTTGAGGCTATGCCTTCTTCTTTGAGGAGGTTGCATTGGATCCGTCAAGGGGGCTACGACCCCTTTGATTTATAGCTAGGGGGTGGAGTCCTAACCAGGTTAAGACTACCACCTTAGCTAAGATCAGCGCCCCTTGGTGCCACCTAGTTGGGAAGCAAGTTCTCCTCCAACTCAAAAAGAACTCGGATTGAGAAAGGCTGCTTCTCTAGGCTGGCCGCAAAGCCTTATCCTAATTCGAGTGAGACTCAATAATGTTGGTATGGCCGAACTTGATCTGAAGCTTTCATCTTGCATTGGTTTAGGCTAGATTGGATTTGACTCAGAGTTCAAGTCAAAGTCCAGGCAAGCCAAATTGGACTTTAATTGGAATTTGATTCGAGCTAACCTAGAATGAGACTTAAGCTGTGTTTGGATCCTTGAGCTCAAATTCGAACTTGAGCTTGGTTCAGTTGGATCAAAATCAATTTGGAGTATGACTCAAAATCCATTGAGCTGAATTCGAGTTCAACTCATACTTGGCCTGATCGTCTAGCGTACATGCACTACAAATAGCTTAGTGTGAGAGATACAGGAATTTTCTGAGAAAGTATACATGCAAAATAAAAAAGTTTCTAAATATTCATAATCGATTTAGGGAATTACGAGTCAGATAACATGCATAGAAACAAGGAGGATGATCAATCTAGAAGTTATATTATGAGAGAGGTGATTTTTACATTTTTTTTCTTTCTTTAAGATAAAATGATTGAGATCCTCAAGTTGTAGTTAAGGCTCATTCTAGGATTATACCATAAGAACTTTTTTCAATAGGCAATCTTTGGTGGCAAGGCATGATGCAACCAGCATAAGTGGAGGAGTCTATTTTGGAAGAGATATGACAAATTGCACAAACAATTACCCGAAGTAAAAAAAAAAACTCATCAAATATTAGTCTTCTACAAGCTAAATCAGCTTCATTTAAGTTGTTTTGGAAGATATGTGACAAATTGCACAAACAATTACCTGAAGGTAAAAAAATTCATCAAATATTAGTCTTCTGCGAGCTAAATAAGCTTCATTTAAGTTCTTCGGAAGGTGGATACCCATATAGGCCTGTATTTTGTTAGAAAGAAACATTCAATGATATAAATTTTGTTTCAGAATAGTCAAAGTAAACACCATGAAGTATGGTAGACATAATTACTAATATTATATTCAGAAAAAATAAGCTGCAAAGAAGAAAAACTAATTATTTAGTGAATAATCACAAGGGCATAAAACAGAGGTAAATAATTCAGAATATGCCAATATAAAATAGGACTAATCAGTTGTGGCCAGTTGAGACACATATGAAGTTGAACAAGCAAACTTCGTCGAACATGATAAGAAAGGTCCCTTTTTCTAACATCACATGAAATTGAATTCCAAAGGATGATAACATCAAAAGGGTTCTATGCATCAAAGCTGATGATAATGGGTTCTAGGACTGCATAGAAGGTTGATTTCATGATGATTACATTAAGACCTGGTTCCTTCCACTTGCTGAATCAATGTTCCAAGGCCAATTCAGGATTGCAATAATGGCTATTAGGTGTATCCTCAATTTGGTGAATTTATTTATTGATTATTTTTCTTTTTGGTTAGTTATTGATGCATTAGAACTTATTTTCAATCACTTACACCTTTTTGGGGGAATACAGACATATGCAAGTTTTAGGGTCTTTATATATGAGGAAAGTCCTGAGATTTTTCTTTATGTTACATGACGGCAAGAGCATCTGTCAAGGTAAAAAAAACCTTTTTTATGATCATTTTCTTTTATTTCTCATAAATTGTTAGGTGCAGGTTTTTTTTTTTGTAGTTGACAAAATTTCCAGCTTAAGTCGAGTTTCTTAGCATAACTTCCCTTCCCCACCAACCCAACAGCTAATCCTTAACTTCTGATCATGCACAAATAGACTAACCTAGAGGCAAGACAAATTTCCCAAAGAGGATAAAAAAACAGCAAAAAGAGCAGTACCACTTGTCCATTACCAACATAAAAATGATATGATTCTATAATTGCAAAATTGTTGAAAAATACATACAGAAAAGATAAAGACTACATATAAGGGATTAGATTTGCAATTCCAATGAGTTAATTAGCAACCTTCCGCAAGAAACATTAAGTTGCTGTAAGAAGATATGATATCAACAAAAACCCAACTAGGTAAGATACAGGAATAGGAAGTAAGATAATTGAGAAAATTCAAGCTTAAGAATATTTCGAGTAAAAAAGTTGCTTACATCATAAAGGTTAAGCAAGTTGAAATCCTTACGAATCTCATCAGGCATGGGGTCCATGTCAACAGTCAATGTCTTCAAGGCTCTGCATATATCTAAAGTACACATATTACTTGCCATTGCACATTTATCAGACTTAACTTTTCAGGGATTACAGAAGAAATATACACGTAAAAGCCTAAAATTTGTAGTCATGTCTGCTACAAGCAATATATATATATATATATATATATATATATAGCATATGGGTCCAAAAATTCTTGAACATGTAGGTAGTTCAATGTCAACAAGTTACTCACCAGAATTCTACTGGAACTACTTTCTGGGCTCAACTGAGGCAAGTACTATTACCTTAACAAAATGTTTTTTTTCAATCTATTTCCTACTTCAGCGTCAGCAGGTAGCACAAATTACTGGAGAGCTATCACACATCAATTGGGACAATGTCATCTCCCTCTCTATTCACCTGCTTTTGCCCATAAACAATGCAAGCAACAGGCGGAAATATAGCACCCTATTATCATGTCTTAGCAAACAGAGAGAGATGTAGTACCAGGCAGAGTCTGCCGTACCGAACTGTACCGCCCAATATGGGCGGTACGTACCAGTCCGACAGGTTGTCGGTATGCAGACCGCCTCTTACCGGTCCGAGACTGTAGCACTGTAGCATTACACTGTAGCACTGTAGCAGTACTACAGTATTCGGCACACCTGGGTGTACTGCTCGGTATACCGTACCATACCAGTACCGAGCCCAGGTTGAAATACCGATACAATACGGTATTGCGAACCTTGGTATCAGGATCCCTTCTATTTGTCTATGCAATAATTAGTATCACTCAAAAGTCTCCTAGAAAACATACATCTACAGTTCCTCAGTGATTAAGCATTCTATTGATGAAGATTGTAAGCATGGGCTGCCAGGCGCTTAAAGTATGCTATCAGCACAATATGGTCACAAAGGCTGCCATTTCGTGACAAACAAGCAGTGTCAATACCTTTATAAAATGGTGAAGTATCCATATCATGCCAGCCAACTAAGCCAAAAGATTGGCCAGATCATGTGTCCCCATGGCTGGCACAACATGACTCGACACATGTTTCCATTGCCAATCAACATGCACCCCACCTGATCATGACATAGCAGAAAATGCCCATATATATTATACTACAAGGCGATGCACCAAAATATGGATCTTTGGCATTGATCAATGCCATGATGGTAATCTCAAGTACAAAAGCTCTTTAATGCAACAACTTCATATGATGACAAAAAATTAATGGTGTCTAATGTCGCATAAAATCAAACATATAAATGAAGAAATAATAAATAACTAGTGGAAAAGTCTAGCTATAAAAACAAAGACATTTGATGAGGGACAGCTATGAGTCAGCTGACCTTGATATTATGTCACGAAGAAATTGTGGTTTTATGCCAGCTTTAGAAGGATAGAGTGGATATGGCATTTTCTGCCTATTTACATCCCGTTCCTCCTCATCAGGATTACCAATAACATACTCCGTCATTTCATAATGGCCTTCTGCAAGCATCTTTCTAACCTACACTTCAGCAAATTACAGATACTCAAAAAGATAATTTGTTCACCTAGGCAAATAACAAATAAAAACAGCATATATATTATATGGTATAGCCACAAACAACTAAGCAGGTTTCCTCACCCATGTTTATAATATGTACTTTTAAAGAATGTGCACAAAAAATAATATGTAATCATCAGCCAGTTGACTGCAGTCCACGATATTATATAATAACCAAAGTTCTTCAAACAGATTGATCCATAATGGAACACACTGTGCCAGAAATATATTGTCGTGAGTCACACCAATCCAAGTCAAACATTTCAAGAAATGGCTAGGCCAAATTTTTGCCCCATGTCAACCAAAGCAGAGGTGTGCCACATGCCATATTAGAAAGGGCTTCACATGCACTCATGCCACAAAACAGCAATCCCAAACAACAATTATTTTGCAACCAAAGATTTTGTGTGAATGGAACTTCAATATGTCATGATATGTTAATGTAGAAATTCTACCATCAGATATAAAGGCAAGAGTAGTTAGTTGACCTTAAACTTACATTTAAGACTTAAGGCTTCTAGTTCTACCAAATACTTTGGAGAAACCAACATGGCAACACTTCAGTACATTACAGTATTTGAAACTAACCACCGTAATAAACACAATAGTCCATAATTTTCATCATTGATAAACTCCAACTTCATTCATTCGCAGGGAGAAAAAGGTGCAGCAAGTGTGGTTGACAAATAACAATTATCAATTAAAGTGGCATAGTGTTTATTAGCTTTCTTTTTAAAAAAAACTTCAAAAATTTGCTAAATGTGATGCATCACCTTTGGCTTCTGCAAGGTATCATGTGCACCATGTTATGACAAACAGCTAATAACCTTTAGAAGTGCAAAAGACAATATTTTAGATGACTCTTACAAATTGTCGATGAAAATACAAAGCCATATTTCGACCTTGATTGTAATTTTGCAAGTCAAGGTATGATCAGTATTCATGTCACCAGAATAAGGCGAAACACGTAAGTTCATGGAATCCAAATCATAAATCAATAAGATAAATGGACAGCAAACAACTGAAAAAGCCATTTGATGAAAATGGGGAACAATTGAAAGACTGAACAAACACACAATATCCAAGTCTAACTCACTTTACCACTAACATGTAGACAATCTCCCTCAGTATATTTTGATTCGATACTTCTAAGAAAAGGCTGATATGTAAAGCGTGTTCCACGGAAGAACTTCTTCAAGTGTAAGTAAATCATCTTCTTATCTTCAGTGCCGTAATCATCCTCAATTTTAGAATCTTCTTCATTCTTTTGGAACTCACAGCCAACAACAACTTCAAGGAAAGAGAATGATTTACCAGCTCTGATTCCCCTGAAAAAACATGAAAAGGATGTTTAATAAATACAACAACAGAAGGTAGACATCTCCACATAGTTAAAAAAAAAAAAAGGTCAAAGTTTCTAAATGTATGAGTTTTAGGGGCACAGAAAAAAATGAGTTCTTCCACAATTTGCAAGCCAAAATGTTTGTTTTGATCAAAAGAGAGAAAGGAAATGGCACACAGAACGAGAAATATAGCATGCTCCTTGAGGCTAGTCTAGTGCATAAACTTTTGAGGAAAACAAAGAGAATTAAGTTGATTGTAGGCCATAACCTGTCATATAATTTCAATTATTTGGGGGCAGCATGAATAATTTATTCCAGTATCCTATCAAAGGCACCATGCTCAGATAATCTGAGGGTCATGTATGTTCAGTTTCACAGCTTGCAATTTATCCTTCTCTTGATCTTCTTTCTCCAAAGAATTGAAACCATATCGGTTTAGTTTTCCACACCGTAACACTTGAAAGTCATAATTAACATGTCTGAAGTACCTTGTTCTCTACTACTAGACACAAATCGGGCTACCAGCCTACCACTAACCAATCGCGAAGTGATTTTCTTATCTTACTTTTTCTCTAGCAAGGTCATTTATCAAACAGGGCTACCTCATTCTCTTCTTGTATTGTTTCACAAGTCAAGTATTCAATATTTTGATATATGGACATGGCTAATCTAATAGCCACCTTTAATATATATATATATATGTATGTATATGTATGTATATGTACACGTATATATATGTACACACACACACACACACACACACACACACACACACACACACGCATATATATATATATATATATATATATATATATATATATATATCATTTAGGTTAAAGGGCTCCTAACCAGTTGTACAAGAAAACAAATGCAACCATCCTCACTTTATCCTACCTTTTCTTGCAATATCAAAGATTAAACATCCACATCATCTTTCACCATCTTATTGTATAATATCTCAAGTCAATCATCCAACATTTTGATCCATAAACATGGTTAATCTAGTAGCTACCTTGTAGATTCCTTTCAATCAAAGTGCAACTAAACAGTCATACAACAATTCAAATGCAAAATCTTCACTTTATCAAACCTACTCTTAGTGAAATATCATCTTCAAGCTATTCTTGTTCAATAATATATTAGTTTTTAGAGTTTAACTCAACTCTAACCTAAAAACTATATCTGTGGTACCTTAATACAAAAAAAATATATCATCATTATATAGATACACCATGGAACTTGAACATGAAGTACATAGACAGTCATGGGTGAAGACTAAGTGGATAATATGTAGCAAGGATTACATATTAATATCTTTTATGGCACTGGGGAATAGAAACACACTAATATCTTTCTAGGAACAAGGGCATAACGACCAGCATAAGCTAAAACTTGGCTTCTTGGCATGTGCCAGCCCATGCCAACCAGCATCTGTGATCCTTGGTTTGTCATGAGGCATGTATGATAACCAGTCAACCAGTTTTTCTATAGGAACAAGATAGGAGGTAGGAAGATTAATTCCCTTGCCTCATGACCATTTTTTCCATTGTATTGAGAGTTGAGGCATAATCCATAAAATATAAAAAATTGATGCATCTTTGCAGCTAAAAGATTAAGAGCCAGATCATGAGGCAAAGATCCAACGCATAATGATACTTTTCTTAATGGGATTAATCCAACGCATACCAGCGGCTAAAATCATTTTGTGAATTCCTTCACTGACTTTGAGACCAATTTCTGACTTTGCCTCTTAATCATCTTTAGATTAAAAGGATCAAACAAGGTATTATTTGCATAAACACTGGATTTAAATATTCAAACAGGAACATAAAGTATCTCTAGATATGTCACTTGTGTCATAAGATTCTACAACCACAGTCATCAAAAATCCATAATCATCACCTATGTTTTAGTCTATAAGGATGCTGTCATCACTCATCACTAAAACTAAGTCAGCTTAGAAAATAAACAGATCCAATATATCTCCTAATTTAAGTGTCAAAACAAAAAGAAGGGAAGATTTATGTGAAGTGAAATTGGGGTAAGTTAGTCACATGCTTAGATTCTTAAAAGTTAAAATACAACTGACCTAGAAGATAAAATAATTCCAACAAGCATCACATAGCGCCCTTCCTCTATTGTTTCCAAGGGATTCAGTAGATCAGAATACGTGTGAGGGAAATGATGCAACAATTTTCGGACCTACAAAAGATTTACAAAGAACATATAAAAGATCAACATCAACCAGGATCTACAATCTCACATGATCACCAACTCCTCACCGTATAGAAGCCACCACCTTCAAGCTGACAACATTGTCTACTGGTTGTCCCTGGTAAACTTCTGATAGCTCTGTCCAAAACTGATTCAGTAGATGAACTTTCAAGTAAGTTTTTGCTAGTCTCTTGTTCTTCTACCTTCCCTTCTACATCAGAATCCGCTTCTCGAGAATCTAACTGCACCACGAACGAATTGTCTTCCATAGGTGATGAAGGATTTGTTTCTGTGGGAGGAGGCCTTACTGAATACCATGTGCCAACCAATTTACTACATTTTTCCCAGTTTGCACCAGAAGTAGATAGGTATTTGTTACAGCTTTCAGGAGGTAAAAGATTCTCTTGTTCTTCTGCATGTGGAACCTCATCATATAGTCCAACAAGTGAGGAATCACCCAGTTTAATGCACGGAAACCTTCCACAGGTCAATGAGAAATCAAATTCTTCATATACATCATTTGCATCTGTTGTAGATTGTCTTCGATCTCTTTCTTGCGCAACTAGATCTTGTATGTTGTTATAACCCATAAAAACTGAGATCTACAAGCAGAAAACATAGCAATCAGAATTAATGTAACAAATGACCGTCCACAAGGGAAACATATAATGCACACAAAAAGATATCTTCCTTCAATATAGTCATATTGATCTTGTTAAAATATTTCAACTTGCCTACATCTTAATACTTCTTTTAAAGAGTTGACGGGACAAATTTTATGTTTCACAGAACAGACAAAATTGTTGGAGTTATCAATATAAATCAGCCAATTAATCTGTCAAACACAAACACTTGCAAAAGCAAGTGATTATGCATCTCAAATTTCAAACAATTCCAAAAGATGTTGCTTGGAAAGTTCGGCAATAAAATTGTCATAAAAAGAACATTTCAGGTTTCCATTCTATTGAACCCTACCAAGCACTACAGCGCTAAGAATATATAAAGATATCACATAATTCGGCAATAAAATGACAAACATAATGGATAAAGTTGGTGTGCCTGCATTGTACATTTTCTCACAAAATGAACAGCTAAAAACAATTACAGCCACCATGCACTGAATCATATAGCCAATAAAAATCTAGGCATATCTAGGCATAGAAACACAAAGGCAAAACACAAAAAAAGGACACCCAGTTACCATCCATTTTGGCAAGATTCAAACATTCAATAGAGGTAAAGTTCTATTTTGTGCATCAACACATCTGTAAACTATGAGCATATATGCCTAAGCAAAAAAAATGTGAAATTGAACGATATAACAAGGGAAACTATAAGGAAATTTGATTTATTGTGATGTTTCTTAGTTCTTACACCTCGTGCTGGTGATCGAGATGTTGGACTGTTCCAATATATATCCAATTTGGCTTAGATCCTTGCAGCCTTGTCAACCTTGCAAACAAGGATTTAAATCAAGGTCCAATACCAATTTTAATAACCAATCAGACCTGTATAGTACTAATGCACTGGATGGTATATCGACTCATACCTCCCAGTATTACTGAACGAAATAACAATATTGACAACAACAAGTATCGACCTAGATGGCCTTTTCCCAATCCTTGGTCGGACTAATGAAAACTGAATAACACAGCATTGGAATGGCGTACCGACTCATACCACCCAATATTACTGAAAAATAATAATAAATACACACCAACCAAAGTTTTTAGTTGGCCCAGTATAGCACAATTCAACCGGTATTTACCAATCCAATCATCAGTTGGGAGGATTACTTAAAACCGAGCAGTCCAATCTGATTTGATATATAACATCGTTTTCTCTTTCTTTTTATTTTTAAATGTCTTATATAACGTTGTTTCCTCTTCTTTTTTTTTTTAAATGTCCCTTTGCCCATGGACTAGGGCTGGCGATTCCTTGAGAGTGTCTCCTCTTTGCAGCCCGTTGCTGCCTACCAGCTAAGAGCTGCCTACATGCTTCCATCTCCTACCCCTTCCTTCTACTTTTCTCCCTCTCCCTCCTTGGCAGATTGGTACAATAATACATTCCAGCGCACCAGTCCGACCATGGACTGACATCACTCAAGTGAGAATCAAAAAGCTTGATACCAAGTGTACCAGCTTATGTGGCCCGGTAACAATCCTTGATCAGAGACCAATAAAAGTCGATCAATTATAGTGCATACAAACTTTTTGTTGTGGCAAAGTACAAAATCATCTCAATAATCGAAAGGAATTGAGACTTGAGAGGCAGCCAAGGTTTCAAATATCTGGCATACTACTATGTACATTTAAGTATTTACTGATTACACAGGACATGGCATATGGATCGAGGGATATTAGTTGGTCCCAGTTTGAAATACATAAAGTTCATTTTTTTTAAGTATTTGTAATTGAAAATAGTTGTTAATGGCTGCTGACAACCTATGACTACATCAATAGATATGGAAGCAATTGAAACCTGTAAACAAAGATTTCAACAGCTATTTGCTCTCCCCCCCACTCTTTCCTCCACCTCCATCGACTTTGCTTCTGCATCTAAATCCACACATAACAGCCATCATTTTCTTCACATGTAGCTGTTGTTGCCGTCTCCTTCTTCAATATGCATCACCTTATCTGTTTCAATACCTTCTCTTCTTCTCCTCTTCCTTCGCCATCTCCTCTTCCTCCGTCTTCTCCTCCTCCGATAAAACCTGGGCACACTAACACACAATATGCTCCACAATAGCGACATTGAATTGATTCGCTCAAGAACCAGCGTCGTACTAAATCAAGATTTGAAACCTTGGTGTCTGCTATAAAAATTGGTGACTGGGGTTTGACATTGATGAAGCACCATCAAATCTGGAACACGAGCAAATAAATGAGCCTCACCACCAAATTATCAAAAGACAAAATTTTTAACTCTAATGTGAATTGCAGGCTTCTAAGTATGTCTTAAGCTTAAATCTCTTGGTTTGTATTTTTCAACGTCTTTCAACATCAAAACTATTGCTATAGGTACAGACTCCTAATTGAAGCATTAGTAGAAGAAAGAAATAAAACCACTGAAAACAAGAACTTTAACTTAACTTGCCATGTTACATTTGCTCTTCATTAAAGTATTAACAACAGTAACAAGCAAAAGAGAAAAGACAACAAAGAATTCCAATTTGCCCAAGGGCATCTCATAATGCAGGCACATTAGGTTCCTGTTGTCCTATTCAAGATTTTTTGGCAGATTCTATTTCCAAATCTACTCTCTTGTGATACTTCAAATGATTCCACGGCTACCTATTTAGGCGGGGCATTAACAGCATGCATAATTGTCATAATAGCATGACAAGAATTATGTACCTTATTTAGAAATTTAGACCGTTCTGATGTGCTTGCTGTGCTATAGTCACCAACTTCTTCCAACAGCTTCTGTGAGGACCCATGATTAGATCGGGAACACCATTTTAGGAGTTTCGAGTGGAGAAAGTTGCTAAACCTGCCAGTGAAGTAACTAATATGAAATAGTCTTTTGCAGTTCTGCTCAATTATGTGTAGACATATTGTGAATATATGTACAGTACCTCATAGTCCTACCAAATGTGTTGCAGTGTCCTCTTTCGGCTTCAAAAGATATGGCACGTGTTAGGTGGCTCTCGTTAAAACCCTGAAAACAAACTTTCTAATTAGGTATAATTTAGAAGTTGCTTGTACAAAAAAAATATGTAGTGTAATTAAAAAAAATCTGAAACAGCATAAATCTACAATATATAGAAGTATACAGATTGTACAGCCTAACCTAATAAGATATGTGGTAAGAGTAGATGCTTCAAATAGAAAAAGAAATCCTGAATACCGATCTTGACTTTTTGAATATCATTCATCAAAAAGTAAGAAAAACAGAAGTGTTGATCAAAGGTCCAGCTGGAAGCAAAGTGGGAGGGTGAGAACAGAATTTCACCACCATATTAAGTCAGTAAGCTTCTTACCACTGAAAGAGCTACAAAAAGATGTTTTTTATCATTTGCATACATGACTCAAAAGAAAATGGAGATGCCTGAAGACAAAAGAAATATATAGTGTGAGATCAAGAATTAGAGATTTTGCAATGTATATCTAAGACAAACAGTGGCCAAACTACAAGTAGTTTATGGTGAAGATTTTTTCGCATCTACCCAGCCATCACACATAAAACTGATGGGGGATACTGAGAGCTGGTGCACCATTACTCTGGCTTCATGCAAAGAATGTCACTGACAGGAGCATTAATAATAGTAGACTAAACATAATTGTTATAGTTTTTTCAAGACCTCAGAAGTCATAACATGAAACAGGGACTAAGTTCCAAGTAAGAGCTACCATGATAGTACATGAAAGTCCTTCCAAACATCATTGGATGGGTCCCTTTTTTTATTAAAAATCATAATTTAAGAAAGATGAACTGTAAATGAAACCATTATTATAAAATAGCTTTGAAAATTTAAGAAAAAAGCAACTCTAATTTAGAGGGAAAAACACATGCAGGGAACAATATTCAACTCTACCTTGCAACATGCTTGTACAAATGAGGTAGCCAGCTGAGCCATCTACGAGGTGATCATTAAGCCACTCTAGGAAGAAAACAAAAGGCACAAGTGACTAAGAAGAAAGAAAAGGGAGTAATGGAGATACTTCAATATTCACAAATATCTATTCCAATTTACTGGAAAAAATCATTACAAGGCAGCAATATTATAGCCACAAATAGAATCATGAGTACTTAATCGAGTATCAAAATCTTGTAGACGTCATATGGCAGGTACCCTTTCAAAAGAATCTTCTTGGATGAGAACAACATCGTGTTGGATATTACCCATGGTATGTTTGTGTAATCACTTCCCGCACATATTCCACCATTACTAAAATATTTCAAAGAATTGTGATTCTCCCTCATACACATGAAATACAATCCAAAAGAAACACTTTAGACTGTGGCAAATGCCCCCTCATCATGATTGGTGATCGGTATGATGGATAAATAAAACAATATCCTGGTTTCCTCTCAACCAATCATTAGCCACTTGGAGTGTAAGAACGGGGGCAGGGAAACCATAAGCTATGAAATCAGTCTGAGCACTCAATCATAGCAGCGGAGCAGCCCAAACCATGAATCTTGAAGTGAAAACCAAGCTTCAAGACCAAAAGAATTGATGAGAAACAAGGAGGAAAGAGGATTTTCGTCCAACGATCATTACCCACTCAGAGACCAACAAAGGCAAAGCAAACAACATCGCCCTGTCACGAACGGTCGTCGCTCATCCGCAACAACTTTGTTCAACGAACCGTTCGTTGCTTTTGCATGCTTGTACAGTTACATGGCAGCATGTTTTGCCTTGATTTTATGTTTTTGCAACGACAGTTCGTAGCGCTACAGTGCGACCGCTCACCGCGTCAGGCCAAATTGCCCCAAAATGGCTCGGTTTTCACGTGTCACGACCTGTTTTTTACAGACCGCAACCTCACGCAAAACGTCAACCATCTCAGTACCCTAGAACCCCCCCGGTGGCACCAAGAGGGATGGGGTTTCGGGGTAGTGTCAAGCATCGAACAATATTCACAAGTTCGCACATTAACTTGACGAGAATTTACTTTCACCTCCGACACCCAGTGCGCAATTATTTGCGAACTTGCAACTATTCGTTCTACCTTCTAAAGTCTTTGTTTCCTCCTTCGTCTCTTTTCTCTCTTATACTCAAGGTGCTCACGGAATTGCTTGTAAAGCTTTCCTCTTTGCGAGACGTCAGGACTTGTCCGTCGCTCATTTTCAAACTAATCAACTTTCTGTTTCGCAGGTCCTTCGGGAACTGTACGAGGTTGCAAATAGGCTGATCCTTTACGGACGCATATGTCGCAAGAGCGCCTCATGACTTAGGCAATCCCAACTAAAATTCGAGGAGTTGGCGTAAAGGTGCTTCACGACTTAGGCAACTCCAGCTAAATCTGTGACTTTATCGTAAGAGTGCTTTACGACTTAGGCAATTCCAGCTAAGCCCGTGACAACCTACCAGCTCCGAGTAACCAGTCCTAATGGCAGACTAACTCAAACCACCTTAAACTTTTGGATTAAGACTCAAAAAGTTTCGATGAGTAAAGGGAATAAGATGACGCTGATTAATGTCAATTAATGTCTGATGATCTTTCACCCATACGAAGACCGATGATGGAACACACAGACAGACATCGCATCCCCGACTCCGAGCATCCAATCCCAATGGCAGAAAACCTCAGACCGTGTATTTTGACGTAACAAAAACCTAGGGGTTAAGACTCCAAAAAAAAAAAAAAAAAAGGAAGAGAATAGGGACAAGATCCGTACCAGCTCAACGACCGACTGGGAAGAAGACCACATGATCAGTGCCAACTCCGAGAACGCGATCCCAACGGAAGACCACTTGAACGCTGAATCTTGAAGCGACAAAAGTATGGGGTTTACGACTTCAAACGAATAGATGAGAAAAGGGAAGAAAAAGGGGAAGAGGACTGATGACGACCAATTTTTAACCACTCGACCATGGGACAAGCAGATTCGAGCACCCATCCCAAGGCGGATCAACTCAACCCATGAACCTCGAAGTTTTCTATTCCAAAAGAATCGATAAGAGAAGCGGAAAAGAAGGAGATCATCGTCTAAAGACTTTTAGCCACTCGGAGACCAACGACGGGACAGGAAGATTAAGCACCGAATGCCAACGGTTGAGCGTCTCAAACCACCATGAATCTCGAAGCTTTCGACACCAAAAGAATCAACGAAAACTAAGAAGGAGGTAAACTAAAGGATCCACGGATACGGTCTTCACCGACTGGGAGACCACATCGCGCTGCCAGCTCCAAGCACCCAAATCCCATTGGCCGAACAAACCATGAATCTTGAAGCGACCAAAACCTATGGCTTGAGACTCCAATACAATCGATGAAAGAGAACGAGGAGGAGGAGGAGGCGGAGGAGGCGGAAGAGAGAGTTACCGTTGAGCGGGTTTCGAGAGACTCCGATAGCTCGGTGGCTCTGCGGTGACAACGGAAGGGGCCGAGTGTGGGCGAGGGTAGATGTGAAGATAAAGCCAACGGGCAAATCGAGAATCCTTGCGCAATTACGTGGGGGCGTGTGGAGCGTCGGATGAAGAACCACAAATGTGATCATAAAATAGGCCGGAATGGCCTAAATGGGCCGGAATGGGTCGATTTACGCTGTAAGGGGTTGGATAACTTATGTTCTGAGGCCTGCTTTTTATGAACGCTAAAGGATTTCCTGTTAGTACTCAGATCAATAAGAGAAAGCTTTCCCTCCGGAGAACAGGTAATGATCAAGCCCTGTTTGAACTCCACCTAAAATCTATGCATCAGTTATCTCAGTTAAGTGTAGTAATCTTGATCTGAACTCCTAATATGACCTTCGTTTATGTTATTTGGGTTCATATGTCATATACGAATTAGAATAATTGACTCAGTTCATGAGAAGATCGAGTCAGTCATATTTTATTTTAGGGTACAATATTATATTATTTTGATTTCGCTCAATCTTATCTTTTATCTCGTTTGCATTAATCAATGCATATATGCTTTGATCAATCAACTCATTTACTAACATAAGGCATAGGTTGACCATCTGAGAACGGTTATGGCTTCAGATACGAAGCATTTTTACACCCGAAAAATCCATCGTAATATAGTTTCTACTTTCCATCAGACGTCTGCACGTAAAATTCTCGAACCAATCACATCAATGATCCAATTGGACCCACCCTGCCCATGTCAGCAGAGCCGACCGTAACAGATGGGAAGGTTGGAAGCACATTAATCCGAGTCATTTAAATTCTTTTCTTTATTTCGGGCACAAACTAGACATGGAAGAGTGCGAATAGGACAAAGGTGGCCATCTGGAAGAGCTGGAACAAGGGCAGAGATCGGACGGTGGAGGATCCGCCACGGCTATCGATCTGGTCGGATCCGACGGCGAGCGGCATGTCGTCGAGGGAGAGAGTGCATGAGGTGGGATCGGGACCGCCGACGCCGTCGGCCGCCATGAGCACCCGGAGTACAGAGGTGGCGGCCGGCAGGAAGTGCGTCCGGTTCTTTGACAGGAGCCACGTCACCCCCATCAGTTGGCATTCCCGGTCTTGAGTTGGGCCCGCCTTCTTGTCCCACTTGGTTGCGTTGCCGATGCCTCGTTTCTCTTCGGACTTTAGCTGCCAAAGAACACACAGATCGAAGGAGAACAATGAATTCAGATTTAGATATGTTAACAAGAAAGAACTTAAAACAACGGAGATTTGTGCTGGACGTGTTATTTTAATGTGTTATTTTGCTGCAATCATTGATCTGAGAGAAGAGAGTCGCATCAGAGGACAGCGATGCCAATGGTTGGTGCAGGTAAACTCCAAGCTTTCTGGGCCATAGGAAGGTCGAATTCTTATACAAACTGACATGAGTTCCGATGCATGTGAATCCATGTTTATACTGCTTTGTTTCAGCTCAGCAAAATCAGAAAAGAAGGAAAAATAAGAGACTATTATAGACATCTCCAAACCAGCGATGCATCAAAATCATGGAAAATGAGGTGATGACAGCTGCATTATCACATTGTTGCAGACGCCGATGGTTGCTTAACGAGTTAGCGCTGCCTCGGTTCTAAAGGAACTCGGACGCAAACAGAACTTAGAAAGGAGAGACTCTCACGAATTCTCGTGCCATGGCTGTACGAAGTTTTAATTTTGCAGCATTTCGTTGGCGGACTCCCTTTTCAACTTCTCACCTCGAGTACCGAGTTAAAAACGAGCTGATCAAGCGAGCTAAGCGAGTCAGCTAGGGAGTCGGACAGGGTGAGGAGCCACTCTACTCACCTGGTTGAGGGAACGGAGGCACCGAGTGCACCCGGCAAATCCGAAACGAGAGCAGTCCCTCTCCAGCCGCCTCCCGGCGTCTCCCGCCGGGACCCACCGCCCCTCCGCGGCATCGGCCACGAACGCCCCCGCGCAGGCTAGCCGCCGGAGGCGGACGCCGCAGTAGCAATACGCCGCGTCGCACGTGCCGTTCACGCGCGGCAGATCCACGCCGTGGTCCCGGAGAGCGCGCTCCACGCCGCCGATGCACGCCTCGGAATCGTCGGGCAGGGCGGGCAGGTCGTAGCCGGAGGACGGCGGCGGGTGGGCGGCGAGGGCGGAGGCGGAGTAGGCGGCGAGGAGCCAGGCGTTGAGGGTGGGGCAACACCGGGAGCGGGAGGGAAGACTGTCATCGGAGGCAACGCAGGCAGCGGAGACGGAAGGGAGGAGGTCGGAAGGGGGGTCGAGGGGACAGGCGGCTGTGGAGACGTCGGACTGCTCGGGAAAGGCGGGAATGGTGGCCGGAGGGGAAGAGGAGGAGGCGCCACCAGCAGCGGCAGAGGAGGTGGAGGGTATGAGCTGAATGGAAGCGGCGTCAGGCTCGGGCAGAGCGGGCTGCGCGGCCAGGAGGGAGACTTGGAGGAGGAGAAGGGATAGCAGCAGCGGTAGAAGACGGCTCATCGTTGTCATTCCTCTCTCTCTCTCTCTCTCCTCTTTCTATCACGGTGTTTTCTTTGAGGCAGTGGACCTTATGATGTGCTGTTGCTTCGTTCTAAGGGAATGAGTAATGAGGGCGGGAGGGTGTTGAGGTGGGGAGTGCAACGCTTTTACTTTTTTTACGTGGCTTCTTTTTCTTCTTTTCTTACCGTGTCTCTCGAGAGGAAATGGGGCGAGAGGGAAAGGTAGACAGGCCAAAGAATAGATCGGTGCACGGAGGAGAGGGGAGAAGGTTGTGGAGGGGCTGATTGTGTATATGATTGGATAAAGTGGATGTTACTTGTATATGGCTTTGGAGGGCAAGTGTAGAATACACTCAACCACACTGAGGGCATCACTCCAAATCCTCTGAAAATTATGATAAATCATTATTACCTTGAGAAGATAGGCCCATCTGAAGAACCAAATTAACAAAAAGATACCCATCACTTGATACTTTTAAGCCTTTTGGATCATAATGCTTTTTTGATCATCAGATTGATGCTTTGCTGATGTGGTATGCATGTAATAAAGTTTACTGTCGTCGTATATTGCTCATATTTCTGATCGAAATCGTTCGAGTTCCATGGAAAATTTGCATCAAATTAAACTATGTTAGCAATCTTAGTGATTGATAAAGAAAGTATGGAAATCTGCGGTATGTTTGGTATAGTGAGATACACGTACATCGCAGTATGTGCCCACAGGCGACAACCTGGGCCTGAGAGTGTTTTAATGCATTGACTGAGACGCTGAACTTCTCGTGTTCCGAACGCCAGATGACTCTTTAAATCTTCCAGTCAACAACTATCATTCTTAGGTTCTCCACCTTTTTAGGGCTTGTAGTTCCTGCGCAAGATAACTACGACTGCAGTTTTCACCTTCTCAAGAATTGGGTCAAGGCCTTCCTTTCTTCGTAAAAAGCTATCACACGTTCCAACAGGATGTATACAACGTAGCATGGCAGGAGAATGCAGTATAGAACAGAATTTTCTCCACTGAACTTTACCCTCACCAGACAACAAAAAGCTAACAGTGCAGTGCAGTGCAGTGCGGGGCTCTTGAGTTGCCATGACCTCCTCCTGCTGCTGTTGCTCCATCATTCTCTCGTCATCATTCCTACCGCTGCCTTTAAAACACATACCACGATAAAGTTCCATAGCAGCTCGTTGCCTCTTCTTAATACTGAACAAAGAAGAAGAAAAAGTTGAAGTCCATCATGTTAGTGTTAGCTTTTTCTCCGGCCTTCAGCATATGTATCGGGCCTGATGCCTTTTGCAGAGTCACAATCACATTCTTCTCATTCGGCTAAACTCCCATACTTGTGATTAACTCAGCATTAACCTAAACATCATTGCATGTGGTAATCAAGTGTGACATGAGTGCAGCTTTGGATCATTATTTTACTCCCTCAAATCCAACCTTGGATTCGTCCTGGTGTAGAAAAATGGCCACACTGCACTGATGCCGAGAAAGAAATGAAGGCAATGAGAACACTGAGAAGGACATCGATCAAAGCCCTCCCTTCAAGGGCTCTGTTTGATGTCCCACTGCTGGAGTCTGTAAGCGGTAAATGAGTGGAGTTTTCGATGCAATGGCTGTTGGAAGTACTACTGGGGCATTGGCTTCGCTCATGCCCTGCGCGTGAAGACGCTGGAAGCGGGCATCTGGGCACCGTGCTTCGGACCCCATGACTGCGTGTCTTGCCTTTGTCTGCTTGCTGAGGCGCTCACAAGCTCAGCACGCTGTAGGCATTGGATTCCAAGAAGAAACACTTGACGACGATCTGGTGATCTACTTTGATGGATCACATTCATAAAATGGTTATTAATATGATGCTTGCACAACCATTGTCTCCCCTGATTCATAAGTATCAACAAAGAAGAATGCAAAGAGAATTTGTTCATATATATCTTGTATTTAATTTGATTTAATTGAAAGCTGATATCTATATACTTCATTTTCCGAAAAATAAATATTCGAAATAGTTAATTTCATACAACAAAAAATAAATTATGCATATATTTATTTGTTATTTTTTTTCCCAGGCTTTATCGATAACACCCTTCTACAATTTCGATATTACGCAAGTTTCGGTTTACTGACGAACTTCACATCGCTTCTCCTCCTGCGACTCGTTCAGCGCTGCTACCCGCCACCACCCTCGACGGTCACGTCTCGCCTCCCACCTCCTATAGTCAGAAGAGTTCCGTTTTTAATGTAAATATCTCTGTCCAATTATGAGTTATCATCTCCTTTTCTTTTGAATCGTGAGGTATGGTTTTGCTTCTTGCATGCACTTTCTTGAAAGATTGCTATGTGTTTGTCGGAATGCCAACGGGGTCATTTTGGAACTGGGACAAGTTGCTCGTCTATTTTTTGCTTGTTCCCTTTTCCCTCGGCTATTAAGATTAAACCTCTAGTTTGCAGCTGCCGAATGTAGAGGATGGCATGCAAGTAGGCTGATTGCACCTTGCTTGTTCATTTTAGCTTTCATTTCCTTTGTTATCTTGCATCGCTCGAAAAGTATTTTTAGGTACTGTACGCTGAAAGGCAAGCTTACCAAGAGGAAAAACTATAAATTGAAAGATTGGATTAACGTTTGCAATTCATGTCATGATTATCCTAGTCATGGAAGTCTAGTATTCGACACTGGAACCAATGTTTTGCCATATGCTATTAGGTGCACCATTCTTAAAGGTAGACACTCTAGAAAAACACTGCAGCAGATCATGCAATATATATGGAGTCAAGATCAGTTGTGTTGAATCATAATGACATCAAGAAACAATGCGACTCTGATGCTGTGATACAAACTGTTAAGAGCGTGGGAACATGTCTATCAGGTGATGTGATCCCTTCCCTATCATTGAAAATTGAGTGGAATGTGTTTTTTTTGTTATTGTGTTGTAAATAAAACTCACCCGTGATGTTTATTTATCTTAAAAAGATGATAAAATAGAGAAAGCAATGATAGGAACAGTGCTTGGCTGATAATTGGATTACTATAATCTGTTCTTACTTCAAATGGTCTATATTACGATGAACTATTCATATATTATCCTCTATAATTAGTTACTTTTAGCATTTCGATTCCTATACTTTCAAAAGTTATATTGAGATTTTTATATTTACGAAAATAAAATTTTAAGGTTTCTGTATAGGATTAAAAAGATAATTTCACATGATTAAAAATCGAGAGAGATGGATTTTGTTAAAACAACAGAATTAAATATTTTGCTTTCGTAAGTATAAATATCTCAATGTAACTTTTGAAAGTATATAAACTGGTATATTAGAGAGATAATATGTAATTATCTCATGCATTGTTCTAAACTCTAGTATTACATAAGATTTAAGGCATCTACTTGGGGCCCTATTTTAGCACTAAACTTTAATATTGTCGACAATCTATCACATATAGTCCGTCTTATTCTTACATTTCTGTACAATTCTATTTACACCCAATTAATGGCATTTGCTTATGTATTTCAGCTACATATGCAGGCAACAAACTAAAAATTTCATTTCATGCATCATGATCAATGCTGCTTGTCGAGGGGTAATAAAAGCGGGTGGAGGTTCATGTTGTAAAAGCTTTTCATGCCGGCAACAATGGGGACTTGCAGCAGCTTTCTTCCATCACCCAATTTGGAGAGGCTTCAGAAAATTGAATCTGAAATATTCACACAATGCTCGGGCCTTGGAGGCCTTGAACTGACCCTCAAAAACAATCTGCTTAACTTTCTACTGTCACTGTTGAACTCGGTAGTGGCTCTACAGGACAACCGGTGTTCGTTCTCCGAGGAATACCTTCCAGAATTTATTTTCTCATTTCGTCTATTTGATCCTATGCAGCATGTGATCTTGGAGGACCAGCCAACTCGTGGAAGTTGTTATCGAAAGCTTCATCGACTTGTTGTCTTTCGCTATCGGCACATCTTATTCGAGGAGCGAAAACGAGTCTTCAGGCAACTGGAACTCAATATTATCGAGAGAAATATCTCCTCTGAACAGCTTCAGAATTATGCTGGAAATTTGTACGATGCCAATATATGTTATTTCTGTGCGGCAGTCAAGCCATAGAGAAGCAACTGGTGTCAAAACTTGCTCTCATCAATCGAGCGTTTGCTGGTCGAGAAGGTGATGTTGCTCTAATCGATGTGTTACAGAAAGAACTTCCTTCTTTACTTTAAGAGAGCCTGGAGTGCTCACGATCACACACGAAGGCAGGTTGAAGTTGACTGCATTCAGTGCTGGCCCAGAGTCGACTTGATTTGACTTAGCTCCCTTGCTTCCCATGAGCTTCTACTTGGTCGTAAACTACGTTGCGGAACAATACATGTCCTTGCATGTCAAGCTTCAGTATTATTGAATCCCGTTCCCAGTTGGTTTGGCTTTGATGGAAGTCACAAGCTTGGTCCTTTCCTACTTTTTGTATGTCTATAGAGGTAATAAAATAAATCGAAGGAGTTAATCATCCAATAAAACAAAAGAAACCAAACATATTAACTATGCTCTTTCTGAATCATTTCGGATAAGTTTGAACTGAGAGATATCGTACTTCGATCTCTCTCTCTCTCTCTCTCTCTCTCTCTCTCTCTCTCTCTTTCATTTGCCGACACCCGCCCCCAATCTTTTTATCATATAGAAGTGGACGAGGATATGAGAAGTGTTTTTAGTATGAGAAGTCTTAACAGCATTCACGCAGCATGCTAAACAGACCTAATATTTCCTTGTAGGGTACTAATGGATGGATTGCTCCCAGGTGACGACCAGGGATCTGTGCACAGCTTAAAGTATGAGAAAGATTGTGCATTTTCTTACAGTATCTGGGATTCCATTCCTAGCAAATAATTCTCAATAGGGAACTCTCCGAGCATGATTGTGTACTTTATCTTCAATCACATCGGGTTTCACTTGTTTAAGGATAAGACGACCCTTGAACATTAAATGCTCTTTTAAGTGGCCATTATTGATTGAGCTTTGCACTCATTTGCATGCATCTCATGGAATGTACAGTTCAGGATCAATGTTAGTCCCAAGCTCTTAGGATCCCATGCACATGATCATTGGACTTTTAAGGTCATGCATTTCTCACTAACAACAGCTGTCCCCGTCCAGCATAAATGCTTTTAACTGCTGCCTCGATGAACCATTAATGCTTAATCTCTATCATATTGCATTATTGGCCTGCATGCCCATCCGAAGGACACTGCAGGGAACCCACTCATCACTGATCATTCATTTGGATACTAAAATAATCCTTCCGGCAACCAAAGCAAGTGATTTCAGATGTTGTTAATCATGGTGGCAGATGGTTGTAGAAGTTAAGGAGGAAGGTTTACAGCGTAATTTACATCTTAATTAAGACTTGAACTGCAGTTCCTGAGAACGGCTGCAGAGGAGGCTGAGAAGGTGCCTCTTGGGAGCAACAGCGGGAAACAGGCTTTGCTCGAGATCAACTCCATGATTACTCAGAATTGTTACAGCCCTTCGTCATTTAATTTAACTCGTTGATGATGCTTAAAGAAGTAGATCACTTCTTCACGACTACATGTAATTTGGTTCCTCTGACAACCGAAATGGATTTCTGTAGATTGATCCCAGAGAAACATTATATATAGGCTTGGTTTAGTTTGGGCTTCTATTTTACGACAGACCTGATCCTAAGCTATGGAGATCAGATTGTAGGGTATATCAATGGATGGATCGACTGAGCATGTCGATCTCTTGTTTCGATATTGCTGCCGCAAACTGATAGAAAAGGGAAGGCAGCATTTAAAGCGCCACGCAAGTATCTTGTCCAGAACCAGACTTGTCTTGAGATATGGAGAAGAAGATGATGCCCATAGAGGTACAAGATGAGCTTTCATGCCAAGTTCCATGGATTACTCTCATGGAATCTTTGACGTGGGAGCGCGAGATTTCCGGCGTTCCTTTGGCTTCCTCTCTCTCTCTCTCTCTCTCTCTCTCTCTCTCTCTCATTCTCTCTCTCCCCTTCATGCCTGCTAACAACTCCTCGCAAAAATACTTGTAGATTACATGAATTATTCTGATTATATATTTGATGAACCATCGCATATGTATATTAATTTATAAGCTGCAGTAGACATCTCCTTATATGAATGTTTAAGTCCACACCATGCATATATAAGAACATACAAGCACAAGACTTCCCCAAGAGCAAGTCCTTCTTCTTGCTTGTCTTAGTACCACAAATTATTCCCCTCCTTCACAGCTCTGCCTCGCTCTATGGCCCTCGAGAAAGATCGAATTTGGGAAGGCTCACAAGCTTGTCCACTTTACGGTGGAGAGGCATCGATTCAAAGGCTTAATCCTCCTTCACTTGGCTGTATGATGATCGGAGAAGGAGAAGGCTCCGATTTCCACGGGAGCAGTTGGAGCAGTCTTCTTCCTTTCTTATCGGACCCTAAAAACTCGTTTAGCAGTACATACACCCTTGAGGCAGTGGATGCGCTACCGCAAGAAGCTCTCTCCATCCTTGACTGCAATGCTACAACATCCGAACACTGGGCCTACTCCAACGCTTCGGTGCTTTGCTTCGAGAAAGGAGGTCGTATGCCTCGTGCTGGTCCTCCGAGCCTGGATCATGACGACGATTGTGCTGCTTGGATCGACGCCATGGACCAAAATTGTCAGCTGAGCGACCTTGATATCAAGTGTCCAACTGCTGATTCCACGTTGATTCACGAGCAAGATTGCTTCGCTGTAGAAAACTGGTGCGCTGTAGTAGGAACTCCTGAGAAAGATAAGCGGCAATGTCAGGATCGGTTTGGGTTGATATACCCTGGTGCAGCTGCTGTGGATGGCCTTCGAGAAAGCATTGGCCGAGCGACAGTCCTACAAAAGCGCCCGTACACGGTAATTTTTGCCTATGTTTTAGAGTTTGATCATGCTGATGCGTGATAGAATAGATTAAACAGGGCTAAGGGGAGAAACGAAGAGATCGTGTCATTTCTTGGATTCTCTATAGTGATTAACCAACTTTGGATTAAAATGAGATATGTTTATTGATGCAGGATGCATCTGACAGGCCGAGTCCGAAGAAGCAGTGCCGTGGCAACACTGGAACGACCAAAGACAAGTCTAGTCCATCCAAGGATCCTCAGAGCACCGCAGCAAAGGTGCCTTCCTCCATCCATTGCATTCATGATTCGATGACCATTCAAATATCCGTGCTCCTTTTTCTTTTTATTTCGCTGATTGTATGAGAAATTACCGATGGAGCAGTACCAACGAGCACTTGAAGGTAGTTATTGGATTACTCGATCCATTTATAGATGTTTCCTTGTTGCAGAATCGGCGGGAACGGATCAGCGAGCGGCTCAAGATTCTACAGGATCTTGTTCCTAATGGCACAAAGGTTTGCCGAGCTTCGGATCAATTTAGTTTCTCGGTTTTGTTTCCTTGTTTTCTTAGCATTTGTAGTTTTTTAGGTTGATCTGGTGACCATGCTCGAGAAAGCAATTAGCTACGTGAAGTTCCTTCAGTTGCAAGTGAAGGTAATGAAGCTACCAAAATCTAAAGATCTTCTCTTCTTTGCATGAACTAATTACCCGTCCTTCCCTCAATCAAACAAAAAGGGATTCTCTTCTTCGTATGTCGTTGCATGAGAGTGACCCTCTCGATCCCTGTGCAGGTGTTGGCAACCGATGAGTTCTGGCCAGCACAAGGAGTAAAAGCCCCGGACGTTGGCAAAGTGAAGGAAGCTCTTGATGCCATCTTATCCTCTCATAGAGATGGAAGCTCCAGTTCTAAGAATGCAATTAGAACCTTTGAATCTGCATGCTGAGGAGAAGGCAAGGGCCGTCTTTTTTGACACTTGCCTTCGTTGAGATGCAATGGTCACTGAACTAAACCGCAGCAACCCCAGTTTTGAATTTTGAACATGTCAGGAGTATATTGGATGTTCTTTTTGTTTTCTTGTTTCTGGAGAACACCCAGTGATCTTAATTTGTTGGGTTTAACCTGTTCTACTGGCAGATGGGTCTTAGCTAATTGTGCAACAAGGTTCTACGGTTAATTATAAGATCAATCTAGCTAATGGAATAATACAAGAAGAAACAACCTGGCTGCAAGATCAAGACTAGTGTTCTGTGATTATATATTCAATGTTTCTGACCGTACATGGCCATGAGATGCATCAGCACATAACTTATACCTCTTCAAAGAAACTTGCTTGATTACTGATGGCTTCCTAGCCATGTGATGTGACATCATGGTCCTAATATTCTTTTGGAACGATAGATTGCCTTCTCCTCGTATCCGAAGCTTGCTGTGACGACCTCGCCTTCCGCGGGGTGTATTATACTTATCTTCTATTTCAACCACATAACATAAGAAACCTTTTCGGCAACAGGCACCAGACAACTCAACAAATTCAAGATAATTATCATTCGCAGCAAAGTTCCATCGAAACTTCATCTTAAAAGACATGTATGATCAATCACGAGCAGCCAAAAAGACTAATCCTTATGAATAAATAAAAGTTTTAACAACATAACATGTAGATCTAGAACACAAATTTCCAGCTATCTACTAACTAGACACTGTTCTATCAGATTCTGACATCCATTTGAACTCTGATATTATACATCATGAACTATACAGCCCTATCACTTATCAACTTGTCGACCTAAATCCAGCTCTTGAATTGCGGGACCGATGTTGCAAGTATTACGGTATATTACATTACTGAGGCATTCTTGTTTCTCGTCAAGACTTGACACCATCAATTGAAGCAGCACTAGATTCTACCAGCTTTTCAAAGTTGATTTCCGTCATCCGAAATTTGAATTTGTATCCGCTTTGGACCCACGAGTTGATACACATGAAGGACTGCATGCTGCTGTATGGCAAACAAAACTGCTTCTTATGTATATCGTCACCTTTACTTGTGAACAACTCGTCAGGCTCTACCGAGGTCCCCTGAACAGCTAAATAATCACGGGCCATAACAGAGAGACGGGGATACCGTGTGCTATTTACCTTCCACCAATCCAAAATGTCAGTGGCGATTGGCAAAGGCGGTTCCGATAAGAATTGGGATAGCTCATCTGCAGCAGTGCTCATGCTCGCACGACGCCTCTTCCTTGCAATCTCTTCAGCAAAGGAAACAACATTCTCTTCATCCGTGGTATCCTGGGTGCCAAATCCATTAGCCATGATGGGAAATTGATTGCTGGGGTAATATCTCGTGAAATAGCTTCTTGCTTCCTCCAAATTCTTCTCCGAATTAAGGTTCTCCGGTATGAGCTCTTTTTTTATCCTTGGATCAAGAATTGCAGCCATGAAGGTAAAGAAGTTATAGGCTTGAGTGCAAAAGCTTCTTGCTCTCTTAGCCATATCATCGGCTACACTCTTTAGCCACTCTTGACGACAACTATCCCTGCAAGAACTAATTAATTCGAAGACATGGTCCATGAAAAAAAGCACCAGACCAACTGTAGGAACTTTGCTTGTGGATATGTTGGTCGTTATCTTATGAAATGGCTCTAGATACGAAAGTAAAATATTGACGACAGATTTCTCTGTCGTGCTCAGCAACAAGTTTCTGCTGCTGAATGTTTCTTCGTGCTTTTTTATTGTGCTGTCCATGGCATTAGGTGCCTACATAGTTGATATCATACAGAGAATCAGTATCCAATCTTCAGATAGATCAATGAAAAAATCATTCCACCTATCTATGAAGCCATTAGCAATGAAATCGGTACCTTTCTCACAATATCAAGCATAGCATAATCACCACTCCAGCTTGTTGAGGAATCAAGGGGAAACTTCCATGAACCCTCCTGGCAGAGTGCCATCATTTGCTTAAAATCCTCAGCGATATCAGGACAGGAATTCACCTCGAGGACAAATTCTCGAATCTTAGATAGTATTGGTTTTGGAGTTCTTAGGCCATCTTCTATGATCAAGTTCAGGGTCCGAGCAGCGCAGGGAATATAAAAGAAGGGCAAACTGTGAGCATGAAGCTCCTCCTTTAGCGCATGGCAGGCTTGAACCGCCTGTGGACTGTTATCATTTGTGCAACAAAGAATCTTTCTATCAATGTTGAACATTGTAAGTACCTTCGTTGTGGCAGTCAATATATCAGACCCAGTACATGGATAAGGGATATGACAGATATCAAGAAGAACCTTGTGCAACGACCAGTTGTCATCTATCCACTGACACTTGACTGACATATAAAATATTTGCTCATAGGAAGTCCAAAAATCCAGGGCAAGGGAAACCTTTGAATTTACATTTTGCAACGATGCCTTTACATCCTCCCGCATGCTTCTGAAAACCTCAAGAGTTACTGCTTGGACCTTTTCTTTAGGCCAAATCCTTACTGATGGATTTAAAAACCTAAAAGAATTCAAAAGCATCTCATCCTCAAAGGTAGGAGGAACAGAGGTCCCAGTGAGCCATTTAAGCAGCAACCAGTTCAGATGATCAAGATCAGTTGAAGGTTTTACTTGAGGCTGAGGCTTCTTGGAAGTAACAACAGCCTGTTGGACTTGTTGGCCAGCATCACCAAGCCTATCATACCCTGGATGGCGATGACTGAGATGCCTACCAAGATTTCCTTCATACATCAGAAACTAGTAAGTAACTCTTAAGAATTAAGAATAAAATAATGTTTGACATCAAGCAATTAGAAGACTATCACCCACCCTGACTGCCCTAATGTTATTGCGTTCAATAATCAATATATTACATGCACTAAAGAAAGCCCATGGACAAACCAAATAAAAAACAATTAACAATGGGACAATATAAGGACTAATTAAGGACAAAAACCACAATACTGTGAAGATTAAACATACTATTGTTCCCTTTACATCACTTTTCTTAGGGGATGAGATATGTACATCGATTATTAATAAATGTGTTAGAAAATATATCATTACAAAAATCACAATAGAAAAGCTTACTTATGCAAATTATGGTAAATGCACACTTGTAATGATAATCTAGTGCTGGACTATATCTGCCAAAATAGAGCCTTTTCTCTTCAAGGCAAAAGAAAAAAATGATTTTCTATGTAATAACCTAGTAGCATATTCAAACAATTCCAGGATCATTAAATATAAGTGCAAGTTGCAAAAAGGGTAGCATAAAGATAGCATTTACCAGTAGCGGTAGTTATAGAGTAACTTTGCTTGCAAAATTTGCACCTGCGACTCTTTCCATCAAGAGATGTTTCGAAAAACTTGAGATACAGTGAGGTCATGGACTTTTTCCTTGGTTTAAGTGATGGACCAGCATTCCCTTTCTCTGACAAGCCCAACGAAACATCTGCAGTTGCTCCTGATGGTACAAGTGCCATGTCCATTAAAGCATTTGTTTCCACCACTGTCAAGAGTAAATTATCAGTAGAGTGGAAAACCTTCTTGAAATTATAAATAAACAAAAAACAATTTTCAATAACCATAATCAAATAAAAGGAATTCAATTTCTGAATAAGATCTCTACATAAATTACATGTAGATAGAGAAAAATAATGCATAAGATCTTGTAATGCCTTTTCTAGTAAGTTTCACTTTATGCCTTTAGGACAAGTACACTGGTAATTCTGGTGTTACAACTAAGAAAAATCTTTAGGTGAGAGGAGGAGAATTTATTAGAAACTACTTAAAAGACACAAACTATAAGATCAAAAGGCAAAACCAGAACTCTGTGCATCAGACAGTGCCAAGAAAAGTTCAGTCGAGTAAGACATTTTATAATTAGGGGGTGAAAAATCATGATGGAAAGGTATGCAGCCGTTCCAAAAGGCGGAAGTTCCATTCATACAAATTCTCTCTATCAAATCTCAATTACTTCTCAATAGAATTTATTGAAGCATGTATCATAAGTTGTTCTGCTGATAATTTGACTGCTTACAGCTTATAAAGAAGCATCTTCAAATTGGAATAGACCATGAATTAGTGGTATCATATGAAAAGTCTGAATGAGATCAGAAATGATAGAATGAATAGAACAAAGAAATAAAATCCACATAAGCATATGTCCTACATATTGCTGCCCGTAATATTGCATATGACAAGCAAAGCATAAATGATAGGGCACACATGCATCGATATATTCTATTAAAAGGTAAATCAAGCCAACTTTGTTACTGTGAGCCAAATATCTATTAAAGCAATTTAGGTAAGCCAGCTGCTGTTGACCTGCATTTGAATCACATTATTCTGGTCCTTTTGTCTAAATTCTCCATTCTATTCAAGATATATCACGCTTCTAAGTTATAGAACGAACAAATGCTGGATAGTTAAGGGGCATGAAGTAGACAAAACACTTTTCATTTTAATTTATGTTCTCATATAGATTTGATGAATACACTAATGAACATTATATGCCACGAAACATTCAGCGACGGTATACCGAGTACACTACTCGGTAAGTAGACCTTGCGACTACAGGAGGTGATCTTTCACTTGAAAATACTAAGCAACAAATAACCATGCAACTGCTACCTAGATTTCGGAAATCAAAAGCAGAGTCACGACTGAATGCATGGGTTATCGCCCAAAAAGTCCCAGGATCGCTAGTTCGACAGAAAGAACAAGAAAGAACGAATTTTTACCCCAAGATTCATAGCAAAATGGCGCGAAGGCATCAGGCTCAAGCCCGATCCGCACACACGAGCATCAGGTTTTGGATTCTCTAGATGACTATGAAGGATCGGCCATTAGGGCTTCGTCACAAGGGATCGAACCCCCACCCGGCGCCCGATTCGGTCAGCGAGGAGGGGGACGGTGACGCGCCGAGAGAAGAACGGAGCGAGCCGAAGGGGGAGCCGATCGAAGCCGGATCTGAGCCGGGCCGGAGCCAGAAGCCTCTCTTCTCTACGGGGAGAGAGACTAGAAGTCGACGCTTGGGAGCGGAGCGAGGCGTTAGTTCTGTTGACGCCGTTAGCTTCTGAGGGCGTCGGCTTTGTTTATTCGGCGCCTGTTGTCCATCTAGCTGTACATGATGTGCATTGCATTTATCTGATCGGCTAATTGGTTCGGGCGAACCGGCGCGGCTAATTCACGTGTGAGAATATTTCTGATCCGAATAATTGTTGGAGCGGAGTCGCACATATAGTCCGTCTAATGAGCCAAATCCTCATCATTTGTCTTTGAGATTCGATAATAGATGATCCGATGACCAAATCTCGGCCATTCATCCGTCCATGTAACATCTCAAGGCTTGTCCCTAAGAGATGGTTATGATACGATGATGGTTGCCATAAGATGACGCGATGATGCTACATACTGATACGCAATAGGTATATGTTTCCTAATCGGATAAAAATCGAGGGGTAATGAATGAATAAGAGGGGGGAGACAGAACATGACGATGTAAGATGAAAATAAAGGTTGACCAAATCCACACGTTAATTCACGGTGCAACTGTTCACGAGTATTTACTGTATCATATTGGAGATGATAAATGAAGAGGGAAGAACAATTTACTCATAAATAAATAAATAAAAATCGATGATAGATCAAGGAGTTGCACGTGGGCACCGGAGAGACAGATGCTTATCCTGTGAGTGGGATCCCCTTTCCGTGCCACAATCATTACCTTCCAAACCCTGAATCCATCCATCCATCCATCCATCCATCCATCCGCATCTCACTCGGATCGCGATTGAGTACCGAAAAAACCCTCCCTAGCTTCATATTTCACCAATTAGCAGCCTTCCCGGACCTTTGTTTGGCGAATCTCATCACGCCATGGTAAGGGTAATTTAGGTATTCTAGTCCATATATCCGATGGCCACGTCTCCATCAAACGAACGATAAGAAGAGGAGAGAGAAATGCAGCGGAGAAAGCTAACTCAGTCATCCCTCTGCAATTCTAGGGTTTCGTCTGTCCTCCTCCTCTTCCCTCCTCGCTTCCTTAGCTCTTAGGGTTCTTACCCGAATTAGGGCCGTAAAGATCTTTCTTTGATCCCGTTTCTCTCCAAATTAGGGCTGTAAAAGAAAGCCTTTCTTTCGTCTGGGAGAAGAAATTCTCTTATTTCTGCTTTTAGCTTGATTTCTTTTTACCTTTTGGGCGTTAAGTTCTCCTCTTCTCGGTTGTTTGAACCTCGTTTGGGGATTTGGGTTTCTGGCTTCCGATCGGAGGACCAGGAGACCTTGCTAGGGTTTAGGCTTTGTGAGGTTTGATGAACGAGGAGGCTTCCTGATGTTTACCCCGCAGAATAAAGGGTGGTCGCTCTCGCCGAGGATTCGCGGCGGAGCCGACGATGGCTCGGGTTCAACGGCCAACCCTCGAGGAGGTCTCGGTGGACTGGCCTCCACCAAGGGGAAGGGGAAGAGCGTGGTAGAGGCAGCACCGCCACCACAGGCTTTGCTTGGTGACGATGGCGAGGATGCCTTCGGTGGCAGCACGGAGGTGGAGGCTTGGCGGCGGTTTCGCGAGGCTGGATTGCTGGACCAGTCTGTTCTGCAGAGAAAAGACAGGGAAGCTCTTGTTCAGAGGATTACAGAGCTCGAGAAAGAGGTTATTATCTTTCTTCTTGTTCTGCAATCATCTCCATGTTCCTTTTTCAATGGTATTGGTAGTTAGCGGATCCTACCTTGTTAAGTATAATAATCTGAGTTTAGAAGATATGCGAGTTTACTCCCGTCCTTATTGTGATGGTCCCTAACTGGTTATGTATTATTTCACATGATGAAAGTAATGCAACATAAATCTTGAAGTTCATGTTCACTTGCATCGTCTTACGTGCTAGGGACAATATAGTAGTACTTTAGGGAATTCAACGCAAGATCTCTTTTTCATTACATCATGATGACTATACTCTCTCAAGCTGGTTTGGCTGTATCTTAATTTTTATCTGTTGTGCCGTATATTTGTTTGGTTTATCCAATGAACTTGGACATGCTTTTTTTTTACTTCATGTTCAGTTGATAATATAATACCGAAAACACTGTGCTGGTCTATTTCTACCCGTTCCTTGAACACGAACATAGCACGATGCCTGAGGTACCCACTTGGATCTCTGTGATCCAGAGATTAATGCAAATTGTGGTTCCATATACCTCGAAGAAAAACATATTATTAAGAATTATAACATTACTTGATTGCAAATAAACTAATCAATAGGTCAAGTAAAACGTTACTTGTTTCTCCTTTCGAAGCATCTGCTTCTAGTCAAACTCTAATATGATCCTGAACAAACCAAACCCATCTTGAACTTCAAGTGAAAAGAGCAACAAGTGCATTGCTTCTCCAACTTTATGTCTCTCTTTTTCTTGGATGCCTCTGAACAGTTTGGTCTGATCTGATCTTGGTTGAAACAGAGTTTTCTTATGAATTGATAAAAAATACACGAGAAGTTTTGCAAGCTTGGTCTTGATAGCTTTTCTTTTATGAGTTCCATGATTATTCTTATGGATTATACTATCATATTGTTGCATATCAGTATGTGGTCAATTAAATTTCGTTGATGCTACATGGGGTTTATATTGGTCTTCAAGTCACTATTGGAGGTTGGATCAACTGGAACTTCTTTTTTTTTTTGCTTATAATTTTTCGGCAATCTGTTGAATTTTGTAAATTTTGCTTCTCATAGATTCCATTCAGTTCAATTCTTAATTTCTTTTATATTGTCAAATAAAATACCTTACTTTTGTCAGATACAGAAATTTTTTCCATATTTCAGATAGTTACCATTCAGTAACTTTGCATTGTGATATTTTGTATGCAGCTTCATGAATATCAATACAATATGGGTCTTTTACTGATTGAGAAGAAGGAGTCAATTGCTAGGTATGAAGAAGTTAGGCAAGCTTTGGCAGAGGCAGAGGAGATTCTGAAGAGGGAACAAACTGCACATTTGATTGCGATCTCTGAATATGAAAAGCGTGAGGAGACCTGGCTGAAGGATTTGGGGGTTGAGAAGCAAAAAGTTTCAGCTGTATGAGTCTGACTTTTAACTTTTTACTTCCACATTACATTTAAGCAACTGCTTGGATACATTAGTCATTTGAAGTTAACCTGTTGCTTACTGATAATCCAACTATACCCCCAAGGAGCTTGGCTTGGGCTTGTGGTATCATTCTTTGGAATTTGAACTATTATTCTTTACTTATCACCATGTACTGCTGTTGAGGCTTTTTCATAAACCTTGAAAAGCACTAATGACTTAGATTTAATTGACTTCATTCTTTTTGAACTTATTATAAGGGAACATCTCTTGGCCTACTATGTCTTTCGTGAAATTTCTTGCTCAAGATCAGACACATGAATGAATGCAGTTACTGATGAAACATCAAGAGATCAATCAATCATGGCTGAAGTGCTTTTGTCTGTAAAGTAGGAGTATGTTAAAAAAATGTAAGATGTTCTTTTTGTGAAAATTTAAATGCTTAAGAAAGAAATAGCTTTGGTTTAGGGCTTCTATTACATGTGTTGAGTTGGGTTGGGTTGCCTCACTACTTGACTTGAGCCTGACCAAAATTTAAATCAGATTTCATTTTGTTAGACCAAGCCGCACACAGGCTTTACAAAATTATATACAAGCACATTAAAGAGCGATTGGACTTTATTGGGCTCAGATTGACCCACTCAAGCTGCAGATGTATTTAGCAGAGATAAATGGTGTATTTCACCAAGGGTCATCTAAGGGGATGACTTTGAAAAATGGATTTTGTAGTTAACTAGGTTTTAATTATAATGGAAGATAACATCATTTAAGGAAACATGTGCCGATGGTGATACATATGAAAACGTAACTTCTGTAGCTTTAGTTACATATGTAAATAGGCTAATGCTTTTTCATATATGTTTATTTTTTTTTCCTACCTGTCTTTTAAAACTTTTTTAGGCCCTTATTTTGTTTGTATCATGCATCTGTGTGTAGGTTTTTTAGCCACGGAGTTCCTCAATTATTTGTTATTGTGAATCAGTGTCTGAACTAGAAGACTCATCATTCTCTAATGTATATTTCTTTTAGACCATTGTTTTTTTCAAATTTTGCAACATACTTCTTCTGAGCTTGTCCTATTTGTTTTGCTTTAAATAACATCACCCTATTTATCTCTCAGGTATATTTTTTGGTATCTTGTTTAAACATGTACCTTTACATCTTTGTGCTGCACTTTGTCCATGAAATAGTGATTATTTATCTTACAGAAAAGACATTTCTGATCCCCTTTATTTTCCTTTTCCCTTTCTTGTTGATTGAATCATGTCAGCTTGAAAAGGATTTGCGTGAGGTGCGCTTCGAAATTTCAGAAGTCAAGTTTTCATCCGAAAGGAAGTTGAGTGAAGCTCATGCTTTAGAGACTGGTTTAGAAGAGAAATATCTGGAAATTGAAGCCAGGATGCATGCAGCAGATGCTAAGCTAGCAGAAGCAGGTCGCAGAAATTCTGAGACAAATAGAAAATTGGAGGATATTGAGGCACACGAGAGGAAACTCCAGAGAGATTGTCTGTCATTAACATCTGAGTATGTTTAGCTCCTTTTTCATTTTACCTTCTTTTCTAGTCAATAGATAACTCATTTGACTTGTATTATTATCATTTAGACGAAAAGCACATGAAAAGGACCTTCTTGAACAAAGAGAACATTTGTTTGATTGGGAGAAAAGGCTGCAAGAGAGTCAAAGGAGGCTTGTTGAGGAGCAGAGGCTCCTCAATGAAAGAGAAGATAGTGCAAATGAGGCAGATCACATTCTTAAAAAGAAAGAGACAGAGCTTGAAGAGACACGGGAAGCAATCGAGGCTTCTAAGAGATCCTTGAAATTAGAAGAGGATGATATCACCATAAGACTAAGTTCATTAGCTTCTAAAGAGAAGGTACAGGCTTCTTTAACATGGTATTTGGTGCAGTTTCTTCCCTCGGTCACCTACTGTCATCATTGTCTAATTTTTTATTTTATCAAACTTTTGATTTTAGGAAGCAGAAATCAAGATGGGGAGTCTCGAGAGGAAGGAGAGGGAGTTATTTGCAAGAGAAGAAAAACTTAATTCTAGAGAAAGAGTAAGTTTTATCTTAAGGTGACTAGGAATGTGTTGAAATGCCTTTGTGATACTACTACTTATATGTAGTTTTCTTTTCACTATTTGTGAAATCTGAGGCTAGGATATTATGGGCTGAAAGTACTGAGAGACAGAATGTGTTGAAATGCTTTTGTGATACTACTGCTTATATGTAGTTTCTTTTCAATATTTGTGAAATCTGAGGCTAGGATATTATGGTCTGAAAGTACTGACGGACAGAATGTGTTGAATTGCCTTTGTGGTACTACTGCTTTTATGTCATTTTCTTTTTACTATTTGTGAAATCTGAGGCTAGGACAATATGGGCTGAAAGTACTGACAGACAAGAATCCAACCAGTTCGGAACTGTGTTACAGATATGGTTTTAAATAATTCTAAGTGGCATCAAATTTCATTAGGAGAATATCATGAATATTGGGGTCATATATCCATCAGTGATTGAGCGAGGAACATGTAAATGAGTTGGCATCTGATTGTTAGTTTCGTATGTATCATATTGGAATCGTTTAATCATTCATGTAGTTGGTGAGAAGACTTTAGTAATTGTACTGGTCATTAAGGTCGATGAACGAGTTAATTAGTCAAATATTTAACTTCTTATTCATGTCAATTAAATTTCTTGAATTCTAGAGTTAAAATTTAGCTTAAGCTTTATCATTCGAGATCCAATTCTGATTTTCATCTATCCTCATGATTATGGTTTTTCTTGGCTTTGCATGCTTCTGAAACCATTAGTGGGCATAAGTGCTGTTGCCATGCTGACATAGGTGGTATTATGGCACTCGTTGGCACCATGTTTGCCGGATGCATGCTGGTTGATGGATCAGGATGGCAACGAGTTGCCATTTTCTTTATGAAACATTGCTGTGGGCCAGCTTTTGTTGTCTAATGTTGTTTATACTACTTTCTCCGGGCATACCAGTCCATGAGGAGTCCACGAGGCTCCCCACAATGTGGGATCTGGAAGGGTTCATATATTTATCTCTAAATATAGAGAGGCTATTACTGTGATTCAAGACCTGGTCTCTTTTGTCGCAAAGGGGCAACCTTGCTGTTGTACCAAGTCTTGATCTCACTTAGTACTTTTCTCTCTCTTTTTCTTTAAAATGCATTCTGATCATTTCATATATCACAGTTCAACTCTATTATCACAGTCCTGTTGTTCTGTGAGATTTTATTATGCTTTTCTTGTGACATGGGGGATTACACTTTATACCTTCAAATTTTAGTTAAATGGGCAAAGTTTCATGATATAAAAGCTAAAGTTTCTGCTAGGCATGAACAAACTCATGTGTATTCAGGCCATTTATTATCAAATAAGGAATTTTTTTAAACTCTAAAATTTTAATGTTTTGCCAATCTTGACCTGGATTTGGATTATTATGAGTTTGATTTTGAGCAATTACTTCCAATTGGAGCAAATCTGCTTGTAGCAACTGGACGACCTATCTGCATGGCAGTATATGCTCGCTTGTTGTTGTGCATGTCTGTGGACGTGATGTCTCATTTCTCTTGAGAAGCTTGTGTGTCTAGAACTTGGATGTTAAAAATATTGTTTTTACCTGAATGGTATGCCTATTCTTTATTTGCATTTTGACATATATATTATAAAAATATTGCGCATTTTGCTTCGGATGATGGTACTTGATGGATATTTGTCATTCCCATCCCATTTTCATTGTATGTTTATTTATTTTCGTATTTGTTTAGCAGGGCCAGATTCTTTCAGGCATTGTATGTCCTGATCATGTTGGTCAGCAGATAGTAGACATAGGTTGAAAATTGGTCTGTGCATGTGTTTACATGGCATAATGCACCGTGGCATCTGCTTTTAGATTTTATTTGAATATTTATCTGGTTCCTATTCCTTTTCATGCATATCATATTTGACTTTTTCTTTCTCTGTTTCTGAAGGTGGAGATTCAAAAGCTTCTTGATGATCATAATGCTATGTTAGATTCCAAGAAACATGAGTTTGAACTTGAAATGGAGAATCAAAGAAAATCCTTTGAAGAAGAGATGAAAGCCAAAATTGATGAAGTGGAAGAGATTAAAAAAGAACTTGACCATAAAGAGGAGCAAATTTTGGAAAGAGAGCATGCTTTGGAGATTAACATGCAGAAACTGAAGGAAATGGAAAAAAATCTTGAATCAAAATCACAAGCCTTGAAAAGGTGGGAGGAATCTGTACAAATTTATGAGAAGAAGTTGGAGGAAGATAAGCAGCAGCTGGACAGAGATCGTGCGGACATTGTGAAATCTATTTCTGAACTGGAGAGCTTGAAGGTTACAATAGAAGCTGCGAAGGAACAAATTATCAAAGAGGAGGAAAAACTTAGACTTACCAAGGAAGAGAGAGAAGAACATAACCTGCAGAAGTCAAAACTGAAGCAAGAGATTGAAGATTACATGATAATGAAGGATTCACTTTGTAGAGATAGTGAGGATTTGCGCCAGCAAAGGGAGAAATTTGAGGAAGAATGGCAATTGTTGGATGAGAAACAGTTAGCATTAGAGTTAGAGACAAAGCAGATTAATGATGAACGAGTAAGATTTGGAAAATGGCAATATGATGAAGAGGAAAGGATTAGGAATGAGGAAAAGGCAAAAAGAATTAGCATTGCGACAGAATTGGAAGACCTTAGGATGAAGAAACAAGCTTTTGAGAAAACAATGGAACATGAGAGGTTGAATGTTCATGAGATGCTCACGAGGGAGCGCTCTGCTGTGGCTCGGGAATTTGAGCTTCGCAAAGATGAGCTGGAGATGGATATGAGAAAAAGGCAGGAGGCTATGGAGAAGGACTTGCAAGACAGAGAGAGTGAATTCCAGAGAAAGATGACTATCGAGCTAGATGAAATAAGATCTGTAAGCAGTGATTTTGAATTAAAATCCAGGAATTTAGAAATGGAACAAGATAGATTAGAGAGGGAAAAAGAAGATCTCTCTGCTTTCAGAGAGAGTCTTAAAACTGACCAACTTGAGATTCAGAAGGATATTGACACTCTTCGTGTGCTCAGTAGGGAATTGAAGGATCAAAGGGAAAAATTTGTGGAGGAGAGAGATCGATTCCTTGGTCTGGCCAATCAGTTTAAGATTTGCAAGAACTGTGGCTCTTCGGTTTGTAACTTAGATCTTCTTGGTCTGCAAAATACTGATGTTGTTCAGCTACCAAGTCTGACATTCGAGGATCGTTTGGAAGCCAAGGATTCTGAAACATCTCCTCGGCATATGGTGTCTCCATCTGTGTCTTCAGGTGGTCGTTTATCGTGGCTGCGAAAATGTTCAGGATTTTTTAGTTTCTCTCCAAAAGGATCGGAGGACACAGCACAAAACCAGGTGAAGAACCCTATTTCTCTTGATGTAAGACTTGCTAGAGAAGCTTTGGATGGTGAAGCCAGCGATGAACCTGCACCGTCACAAGGAATTTTTGCCAAATCTTTTGACACCCAGAGAACCCAATCAGATAGTGGAATCAGGGACAACGAAGTATCAAAAAGGTTAGGCAGAGCTAGAGAGGAGCTGGAATCTTCTTTTGGTGTTGCTGATAATTCAGCTGATATTGTTGGGATCCAGACAGATAATGCCATCAAGGAGGTAGCTGTTCATCTTACTCACCCCATTAATGAAAATGAGAGAGGAGGATTGTCTGTACCACCCAGAAATGAGTCCCAGCCTGAACCTTCAAATGAGAAGCCACGCCAGCCTAAGAGGAGTGGTAGGCCTAGAAAGATCAGTAGAACACGCACGGTGAAAGCAGTTGTAGAAGAAGCACAGGCTATTCTTGGTGAGACCTCTATGGGGAAGAATGGGCAGCCAAATGGGCTTGCAAAGCGTTCTTTGAATATCCAAGAGTCTACCGAAGGCAATTTAGTTCATGCTGGGCAGAAGAGGGGTCTTACTCACATATCTGTGGCTGCAGCTAGTGAGCTGGATGGGGAGGACAGTGAAACTCGTTCAGAGAGCATTTCACTTGGAGGGCGCCGTAAAAGGAGACAAATAAACATTCCAGAAACTCAGACTCCTGGGGAAAAACGTTACAATTTCAGGCACTCTACAATGTGAGTTGCTTTTAGTATGCATTCATTTTTTGTTTGAACACATTATCTTGATGTAGAGTTCAGATTTTAGATCTGATGCAGTTGTTATAAGCAGGGTTTGCCGTACCGGTACGCACTGTAGCAGCGCTACAGTGCTCGGTACACCTCGGTGTACCGGTCGGTACACCCGTACCGTACCATACCGAGCACGAGTCGAAACGCCGGTACGGTACGGTACGGTACGGCGAACCTTGGTTATAAGTATACTTGTTGTTAGACTGAAATTGCACATATGAGTCTTCTGTTAGGCTAGATTCTTTTAGGTCTGGATGGGTTGTGCTGTGGATGTGTTCTGTTTCTTTCCTTTGCCGGGGTTGAACGTTTTTGGTTTGGCTCATGTCCCAAAGCTCTGTTTCAAACAGTTCATCTCAGTAGGATATCTGATATTTTGTCTGGTATATTTTGGATTTTAAAATATAGTTTGCACTAGAAATGTATAGGCCCACTTAAATTTTAATCACCACCTCTGCTCAACATTGAACTACTGTTGTTTTCTATGTGTATGTTGTTGATTTCCACAACCTTTCACCTTGAAATTTCAAGGATGTGAGTTTTATTATCATTAACAATCTTGAATATCTTATGGAAAGCTGTGGCTGAATAACTTGTTCATATTTTTGAATTCTCAGTGCTGCTGCAGCCAGGTCAATATCTGATCAGACTAAAGGGCATAAAAGAGGAGGTCACCAGCAACCCTCTGGAGATGAATCACTGAGGGGAGATGGTGATGGAGAAGGAACTTCCAAATTGAGGCTAGATGTTGAACCGGCGTCAAGTTTTGCTGCTGAGAGTCTGAAATCAGTAGACATGCAGAAGATGGCTGCAGAAAATGTCTTGGACGTCCAGGAGATATTCCAGAAACCTGTCTCGGTGAGTTTACCATTCTGTGTGGTGCATAAATATGGGAAGGACCCAATCCTCTGGAAGTTTCAGATTGTACTGTTTGCCTCCATTGTTAGCTCCAAGTGGATATACCTTGTTAATCCTCACCATGATTTGTGGTTTGCTGGATCGGTCCTATCACCAAATATTTCATTGGGTCATCTTTTTGATATAAGACTTTAATAAAAGCATCAATGTTTTGCCAACAAGAATTATGTTTATACTTTAGTTACATAAGTCCCACAGGAATTAATCTTGGGACATCAAGAGTAAGTTGCTGCCATAATGACCATATTAGGATAAGCCGAACTAGTTTATGGAATGCTTCATGTGTAGCCAGTGTAACCAATTAGAGCATGCTATTGAGCATATCTGGTTCTATTGACACCTTGAGATACTTGAACTGTTTAATTTTTTAATGTGTGACTGAGGTCTTAATTATGATGACTCTTGACAGCACGAGATAGAGGAGTGCCATGCTGATGATGCTGGGAAGTCGGTTGAATTCAGCAAGCAGACTGGCATAGAAGGGGTCATGGCAGATGGGGCAACAGCAGTAGAAAGAGAACCTGCCACTCCTGATGATGGATGCAGTGAAGATGATGACAGCGACGAGGCTGAAGAGAACTCTGATGACCAAAATGGTTCAATTGGGAAAAAGCTTTGGACTTTCTTCACGACATGATAAGTGCATAGGACAGAAGTCCAGACTAACCCCCCTCAAAACAAAAAAAAGAAAAAAGAAAAAAATTTGTAGGTCCTGCTTCTCTTGTAGCTACACTACTTTGTCAGTTGAGCTTTCTTTAAGCTGCTTTGATGGGTCGGGTACTAGTCATGTAGGTTTCGTGTATCATTGTTCCTTATTGCTATTTGTTGTCTGTAGTAATTGGTGATGCTCCATAGCAACCAACTTGTGTGTATCAACAGTGGATGTATTCAAGCTTCCACCTTCAGAACATGGTTCTTCTGCCCAAGTCAGATTGCTACCATTGCTCCTCTAGCTCCTGCCGCTGTTATTTATTTAACCTTCAGTTCAACATCCCGTTCAGTTTTCTTCAAAGATTATCGTTCACTGGTAAAGAGAGACACGCTGGACGTAAGCTTTCCGGTATTGATTTTGATCGGTAACTCTTTTGTAGTTCAACATAAGTAATTTCTGGTGGATCTTATGTTAGACCGGCCAGCCCAGGGATGATTAGGTGTTGGCCTTGCGTCGTGAATCAGCTTTAGTTCTTGTGAATGCCTTCGTCGTTTACCAAAGCGAATGCAAAGGCCTACTGCCGAACGCAACCGCCGCACGGAGCAGAGGGAAGGAGCTGCCAAAATACAAAAAGGCCGGCATGGATAGGGACGGGTCGTGGATGAGAGATGTGAAGGTGGCTTCGCTCACCTTGGCTTCTTTCTCTTTCAGTGGATTGTCCAGAGGATCAGACCTGAATGCGTCACTAATAGCTCCTCAATGCTACGATGTGGTGGTGATGGTGGTGGGCGTGGTCCTCCCTCTCCCTCTCCCTCTCCCTCTCTGCGAGCTTCCTCACAACCGAGTCACAGCGAGGCGTGAGTTGTGCTCTCCAAGATCTGTCGTCAGAGATCTTTGATAAAGCTGCCTTCTCGCCAACTGCCGCAGTAAATTGTTGGCCATCTTAAGAGTGACACCCCCTCCTGTTCTCGAAACTTCGCAAGTTGTCTTACCGCTGGCAGACCAACAATTCCCATGGTGAACAGTCATTTACCTTAATTTTTGGAGGCATCGAAGTAGTCATGTGCCGTAGCGCATCGACTGTACATGCTTCCCGCCTGGTGTCGAGTGGAAGGGTAGATACTGTGTCGGGTGGCATTTTGGTGATGGAATGGGCAGGTAGAGTTGTAGGATTAGGCTGCAGGACAGAGCAGTACCTGCTATGTTAGATAAAGGCGGCCTCTCAAATCTTTATGAGACGCTTTTGTATGCCCATCCTGGATCTGCAAACATCACTTTCTGTAGCTTTTCATTGCACCTCTCTCTCCACGCCGTCCCACGATGAGCGGTCCTCCTCCTCCGTCTACGAACGATAGGACATTAGGACAAATAAATGGGAGGCACCTCTTCTTCCACCACTTCTATGGTTCACCCGGCCCCGACGGTGCTGTCATCCTGATTGATTTCCTGTGTTTTCTGTTCAGCCATTATTATTGTGGCTCGCTGTTTGGAAAACGAAAGCAACAGTCGACGCGGACAGTGAAAACCCTGTGTGGTATTGGATATGATAAAGAAGTGACAAATGGATGAACTTCCCTCATCACGTAATGTCATGCAGGCACATGCACGGAGCACGGTCCCCTCGTTAAAGAACAATGCCGATACCTCCAATTTTTTCCTACCCCACACGTATTCCACATCCTTTTCCACCTCAACTAAAATACAACTAAGCAACGTACAGTTCTCGGAGTTACTCACCCATTCCATTCCCTTGGGTTAATTAGGTATATTTAGTATTTTGATCCGTTATATTAATATTTTTATAGTTAAGAAAATAAAATATACAGATACACTTACTCAATTTTACTAATAAAAATATATAAAAAAATATATAAATTTAAATTTAAATATTTTAATTGATAAAAAATAACGATATCGTTAGAGATCGCGAGTTACTGTTGTAGACGAGAAGAGCTATGATAAAAAATAAAGACTACTTAACATCTATGTTGGCAGTCTCGATATAGATGTAGAACAATGAAAGAACCTTTCGATAACTATATCGATATTGACGTAGATATAAAATGATCCTTACCTCTTGTCGTTCCGCACAATAGTCATCCGCTATCTCAATGATATCGTCCGTCATCATTAATCGATATATTAAATTTATATTTTATATTTTATTTTTATATTTTTATTGATAAAATCAACTATATTAGAATGTATGGATAAAGATATTTTACTTTTATAACTATAAATATATTAATATAATATTTTAAAAATATAAATATTAAAATAACTAACTACATCAGTAATAATAATTAACCCCCTCCCCTTCGTTATTCTCAGCCGCCGTGCATCGATCTCCCCAATCTTTTCAGCGCGCTTCTTCTGCTTCTTGTCCTCGCCATCATCACTCGACTTTACCGAGCCGCAATAAATGTCATCGTTAGCGCGGTCTCTCTCTCCGATCTGTATCCGTTCTTTCCATAGATTTTCGAATACTTGTGTTCTTCGAGTACTTGAAGAGCCCATCCACTGCTCTCCTTCGGATTCAATTTTTGGTTGTCGCATCGGTTGTGGGAATGTTCTCGGCACTGCTTCCCTTCTTTCGATCCTTTTCCTTTTGGCATACATTTCTTTTGTTTAGCTCACTTTTTGGATTTTGTGGTAGTTAGAGTTTCCGCATCCCACTTCAGAATCTGCTGCCTACCGTTGCTTTTCTTGTGAGCCCGAGTGCTGCCTTCTCTGATAATGTCGGCCTTGTTTCTACCAGCATGAGTATCGCGTTTCGCGCATGAGAAGCTCCGCTTCTTCCCACACCGTCGACAGATCACAAGGTTCTCTGGTTTTTAGTCGTCGGAGAGGCTTGCTTCTGCATCTTTATCCAGATGGTTGCGCTTCTTCGCATCTCTTTGATTAGTTTCGGCACTGTTCTTGCTTGTGTCTTGAGCTGACTGACATCACCCTGGCTCTTCTGCTCTCGAGATTCACGATGACAAAGATGGCTTCTTCACGGGCTTTTCTCCTCCTACCATTCCTCATCTTCCATGCGTTATCCCAACCAGAAAGCTCCATCGCTCCGATGGAGAAGACAGAGCAAGAAGCCCTGTACATGGTGATCCAAGGCTTTGTCGGACAACGGTGGAATGGGTCGGATCTTTATCCGGATCCTTGCGGCTGGACGCAAATACAGGTTCCTAACAGACATCAGAAGTTTGATTCCTTCATTAAATTGATCTGCAAGTTCTCTTTTTTGTGTTTAGATTCATGCTGATACAAATAAGATAGCAAGACTTCATTTTGAATTGCGAACATCGCTTCCTTCCATCGGCTTTCTTAATAGCGAAAGTTATTTAGGAGATCCAAATAGGTTTGTGTGGCAAAGACAGTTCCAAGGTTCCTTCCTCCTTTTCCCTTCTTCTGAGCATCATTCGTATCTCGGAGACAAGGGAATTGCTACTTTCGACAAGCATGAGCTTGCATGACTCGAGTGCTGCTTTTCGAATGTTTGATTTGATCTCACTCGCATATGGATATACTTTTGAGTATCTGCCTGCAAGACTGAAAACTCGAGCAGCATTAGCTATCGAAGCTTGTTGCTGTCCAAATCACATAGATGTTAAATTGATTGATGCGGCTTCTCATATTTATTTCAGGAATTCGATAGAGTAGGAAGATGATGGATGTTCATCAGACAACAAAATTTTGTTCTAAAATTGACTTTTTTCCAGAGTCAGTCAGGGGTTTGACTTTACTTATTTGATTCATGATCTTTTCCCAATGCAGGGAGTATCATGCGATCTCTTTGATGGTCTATGGTACGTTACGGCCCTAAGCATCGGACCCATCCTTGAGAATTCACTGGAATGCACGGAGAAATCAGAGTTCAGTCCACTACTATTTCAGCTCAAGCATCTCAAAACCCTCTCCATCTTCGATTGCTTCTCTTCTCATGAACAAACTAGCTTGCCATCAAGCAACTGGGAGAAGCTAGCTGAAAGCTTGGAAAACCTCGATTTGCGCTCGAATCAAGGCCTCGTGGGAGGAATCCCAGCCAACCTTGGTCAGCTTCGTAATCTACGGTCCCTTGTGCTAGTCGACAACTCACTGGTGGGAGAATTGCCGATGGAACTTGGGAATTTGATCCAGCTGAAGAGACTGATGCTCTCGGGGAACCGATTCTCTGGTCAAATTCCAGCTTCTCTTTGCATCAATTTAAACCAGCTCTTGATCTTGGACCTCGGCGGGAATTCCCTGACCGGTTCTCTCCCTTCCTCTCTCTGCGGTCTCAGTTCACTCTTAAAGCTGGACATCAACAGCAATCGATTACATGGAAGCCTTCCACCCGGGCTTGGAAATCTCAGCCACCTTGCCCTTCTGGATCTCAGGAACAATAGCTTATCTGGTGTTCCTTCCAAATCACTTGCTGGCATGGAGTCACTTCAGGTTTTGCTTCTGTCTTACAACCCATGGGGTGGGAGTCTGCTGGAATTCGAGTGGAAGAACTTGAGGAACCTTACCACCTTGGACCTTTCCCATATGGGTTTAGAAGGCACGATTCCTGAAACTATTGCAAGCCTGAAGAGATTGAGATACCTCGCGTTAGACAACAACCACCTCTCTGGCATTGTCTCTTCCAAGTTCGCAGCTCTGCCTTCTCTTACTGCTCTCTATCTCAATGGCAACAACTTAACAGGGGAGCTTGAGTTCCCCGAAAGGTTCTACCGGAGGATGGGAAAGAGATTTGCTTCTTGGAACAATCCAAATCTCTGTTGCAATGCTGCAGCCATGGCCACAGGAAGTGCCCCTCACGGTGTGGCACAATGCAAGCAAGACCAAGAGCCCTCCGCCAATGGCTCCAATGCCAACGAGAGGGTAGATGATAGGAATCCAGATCAGAATTCTGGTCTGTCGACCTCTTTTCTGTTTCCTGCTTCTTCAATTAGTGGTTTTTGGTGGGGAATTGTTGTTCAAGAGGTGATGGTCATGTTTCTTTTGGTCATGCTCTTGTAGGATGTCCAAACCTGCACAGATAGCTGTACACACCATATTTACTACTTGTATGAAGCAGGCAGTATATCCTGGCAGAATGTTAGAGTAGTTTATCAAGCTATTGTCGCTTATCTGCAGTGCGTATTTATGAATGCTTTCATGGAGTTCGTCATCAGGATAATCCTTCATTCCTGCAGTGCTGAGAAATGAAGACCGCAGAAAGGCAGTTGGATCCATAAATGATCAATATAATGCATGCAGCAAAATTTGACAGGAAAACGATGTCACACCGAAAAGAAAGAGAGAATAGTTTCAATGTAGATTAGGACATGGGTTCTTCCATTAGAGCTGTAGCTCTGTTTTGTGCTTCGGCATTAGGACTTTCATATAGAACAATAAAACTGTTTTTTCTTCTCAGAAGAGGGGATCAAAGCCTAAATCGATAAATGAGATACTTCTGCAGCATGCCAACTCTGCTGTCAGATCGAGCTTCTCTATGGAACGTGGAATCCGACATCCACTGGCTCGCCACTAACTCAGATCTATCTCTGTCCTATCAACCGAGGTGCGAAGTCAACCAGAACATACTTCTTACCATGAATCCTGACGGCAGCACAGCCAATATGATGGATTCGGAGAAGTTTTACATGGATGCTGGTGATTATGTGGACCATTTACTTGATTGGCTTCCTCACAAGGTTTTGACCTGTGCCATCTGTTACCATTAAGCAGAGCCTTGCGGCCATTGCACTACACCCTTATCCTATGATGATTGCGGTGGGCAGAGGACAGCATCATCTTGTGGATGCAGCATTAAAGATTGCACTTCAAGCCAGCATTTGATTGTGGATGGCCAGCTTTCTCTTCCTAGGCTTAAAGGTCGACTCCCTGGATTGCATTGCTGTTCTATCGCTGGTTCATTGTGAGAATAAGTGCAGTTAACAGATCATTGCCTCTCTATTTATTACTTCCACCTATCGAGGATTCCACCATCTGTTTCCTTTCATCTCCCATCAATGAGGCCGCAGTGAAGATTGATGCAAAGCAGTACATTATTTGATGGAATGGTGGAGTACCATCGTACAGTCTCTGTTCAAGATTTGACATTTCTGCTGTAGCATTTTGGCGGTCCCATCTCTAGATTTGACATTATTTGACTAGGGCTCGACTCGATATGATTGTTTGCAATGAGAAGAGGGGAAAGAATTGGAGTTCATCTGCAGCATCCTCACAAAGCAAACTCCACTTTGTGCGAGTCCAAATACCGTCCCAGTAAGTTTCTCCCAGAATAAGAGACACAGGCCAAAAGCAAATTATCATCAAGTCTTGTGCAAGAACCACATTTACTTGCAACCCCAACTATTCACCATAAAGAACAGAAAGATCTTACCAAGCAGACAGGGAAAGTTTTCCCTTTTACTGATGCAATTACTCGTTTATTTGGTCATACAAAAGAATTGATACTGTGCAATTAAATACAAGAAAATAATATACAGATTGTCCATGATACTTGCACACTGATGCCAAGGTTATTGCACTGGTCATTTTGCTTCTATAACTTTTCTACTTCAGTCACCCTGATAAATTAGTGATCAATACGAGGCAAATCGCATGATCGTATCCAGGGCAAATATGTTACTTTCTTGCTCTCCCGTCCATGAATCCTACGTATATACAAGCTGTTACAAACAGGGAATTCCATTTTCTTCATTATTTCCTCCATCTTCAACCTGAGGGAAAAAATTAAGCTACAGCTGCTAGTCCACCGTCTTGGATTAGATAAATCACATCATAATGGGCCCTCTAGACTTGCAAAAATACTTGGTAACTGCTGATCTGGTGAAATACTGGATTCAGAAACCACCTTGCTGCTTGATTCCTTTGATCTTGAATGTCTCATTTTCCTTGTAAAATCCTTAAGATCCCTAAATCGTAAAAAATCATCAATGTAGGTCTAAATGGAAATAGATAAAAGGGAAATTCAGCAAAAAGAAAAAAAAAATGCACTGTATACATACTTGCACCGTGGCACATGGCAATCAAACTCTTGGCAAACACGGACATGCCACCGGAGAAGCAGCCAGATTTTTTTGCAAGATATACAACCTCCATGAGCACGCACCTTGCATTTCCTACTATGAAGGAAGAGTTTTTTGACTTGCAGACAGCATGTATAAGCACACTGAGGAGCACAGCACTTTGGTGCATGCAGCAAAGCATCAAGGATCATCTGTTAATTAACAAGTACCAGCATTAAAAAAGTGCACTAAAGCTGTTTCACATGCAAGTAGGAAAATAAGAAAAGAAAAAGGAATCCTCAAAAGCAATGCAATCATGAAATTCCATAGTTACTGCCTTTTTATACAAGTCATACGATGAAGGGGAACTGGTAGCCCATCCTCTCTCTCTCTCTCTCTATATATATATATATGTGTGTGTGTGTGTGTGTACCAGAGTTGAGATATTTTTGATGCCTTAAAAATGTTTGAACTCTTTTTCTTTTTTCAAGTTTCTGCCAGAGACATCAGTGAATTGAAACAGGCACAGAACAAATTTAGTTCCATATGTATCAGAAGAAAACAAGATCACATGGGTTTAGTAATCTATTTGACTGACCAATAACATGACATAATAAACTTGCATTTGATGGAGCTGTAATGTAAAGACACATAAGAATGCTATGCACATAATATAGCGGAACACTCGAGAAGCATTCTAGTGATCGAAAGGAATAATATAAAAAAAGCATATAAGTGCTAAAATGATCCAAATGCCCTAATAATGAAATTTTGAAACCTATGGATGCATGCTAATCAATCTTTTAAAAATCATGGTCTTTAGGAGCTACTAGCATCTGTCCCAAAGAACAAGGTGGTGAATTTAGCAACTGTATAAATGGTAAAAGATGTATCAAAGAACCTCGTGGAAAGAAATGAAGAAAACGAATTAAAAGACAAAGAGGAAGGGCCATGATCAGCCTATTCTTCATAGATGGATGTCACACTGATAGAAGAATATAAATACTATCAGTTATTCCCTTGGATCAGAGAGGGCAGCGTTCTACAAAAGCAAAAAGTTGTCTTCTATATCTTAAAATTATGATGCACTAAATAAATAAGAAAAATTCAAACAAACACCTGGATATTTATTTTTCCATTTCTTTGTTTTTTTGGCTGCAGAGTACGATCAGCCATGGTGGCATGGCTTACCAACTGATGCTTATGGTAAGAAGCTCCTTTCTTATGATAGCAATCAGCACAAAGATGATAATCTTGACAGATCATACAGTGCCAATTCTGATCATTATCCATGTTACAATGGCAAATGGCACATGAGGATGCAGTAGTGATTGCAGTCGGATCATGAAGATGATCAAGGATCATCATTGTTGAATGTTTTGCCCTTCGGAGGGTGTCAAATTGGTATTGCTCACTTTGACAAAAACCTAGAAATCCAGTTCTCATGTCAAACAGTTTACTCTGCATCATTTTATCTTTATCATCGGTATCTGCAAGACCATCTGACTCAACCTGAAATTTCAAAAAATTAGAAAAGATATCAACAAAATTACATGTAAAACAGAGTTTAGGTGCTTACTAGTCGAAAGGAATGTTTTTCCTTAGAAGTAACAGGGTGTCTATCCTTCATATCGAGATTCTGCCCTTTATCATAGCACCTGATAGAAAAATTTTAAATAAAGAAAAAATGTTAAAAACCAAAACTTAAAACCAGGTGAAAAAAACCAGAGAGATGTTTCTAAAAAACTCATAAAGAAAACAACGATCAGCACTTTTTTTTATTCATAATGGACAGTGCACCAAGCCACCACAACACTATTCTTGACAAGAAGATACATGTAAACCTGCCATGCAACTAATAGTCCTCCTTGATCCAAAGGAACCAAGTTCAAGGGCAGTTCACCTCCAGTCATCCACATATTAACTTCCTATTAAAATAATACAAACTGTCCAGTAATCTCAATCTCACCAGACACAACCCTCATTTCTAATAGCTATTCTGCTTTGATCAAGTCCTGATTTCCATTGTCAGCCCTGATTTCTATTATGCTTAGTAATGCAAGACCAAATACCTAGATGAAAAGTAATTAAAAAAATCAAGAAAATGGAGTTGACCAAATTTTCCTTTCAATTACTATAAGAAATCATCTAAAAACATAATATTGTCAAATGATTCAGATACATTTGCTATTCAGGGTCAGTCAAGAGAATGAAATATGATTAGAAGATATATCTGAAAACTATACATCTTTGTCAACTTATAATATCCTTGTTCTTTCAGAAGTTAAGAAAACAATTGAGCTTGGGCGGCTGGCTATAAGCAGCATATACATTGTACACCATTCATGACTTGTTACCAAATGCAAAAACACCTATTCCAAGTTGATAAGCATGCGCTATATACTCATATCAGCAGTGTCCATTGAGCAACTTGCCCCAGGAATCAAGTGCCAGCCTGCATATATTGAACCTGTATATGCTTATATGATATAAAATAAAGCTAAGCAGATTCATGCATCCACAGCTAAACACCATAACCAAGAATGACAGCCAAAAGACGCTCGCGCACATGATACTTGCGGCCGTGCAGAATGTGGCATGGCAATCCATTGGAAGAAACTATCTTTAGTTAATTTATCATAGCTGTGTTCATGTATCAAGTAAACGATTTAGTGACTTTTCATGACCAGGAATGTCACCATTATTGCTGTGCAGTTTGCATGATATCTTTTAAGTAACCATCTTTAGTTGTTTCTTTTGTTGTTTTTTATTCAAATAAATAATTCAATTAAACCAGTTTACTCTTGTTACATTACTTATAACAACAATTTATAGTGTCCAATATACAACTCATAGATATGAGAAGAGGAAGCCACATACTGCTAATAGAAGACAATTCTGTAAAATAATTCCAACACAATTTAAACACCAATAAAATTGTTTTATAAACTGAGTAATTACATATGTAGAGAAAACAAAAAAAGGGCACATAAACTTAGTGCTTAATCATAGTATAAGGAAAAAAGAAGCTTACCACTCACAAAGATGAAAGTTTTTGCAAACGTTGCAGACCCACT